CGAGAAAAGTGTTCGAGTAGTTCAAGAGTTTAAAATAGCTCAAAAATACGAAAATTATTCCATTCACCTTAATTTCTTGTATCCAGACCATGGATGGTAATCATTTCGATTAAATTTACGTCAGTGCGTTTGTCAGAATGCTTCCAATACTGAACTGCATGTGTGAGAAAATTAATCAATATGATTCCTCACATGCAGCCATAGCTCACGGAGGAAGAATTAGGATGTTAAAACGCCTTCAAATATCTGTAAATCTGGACGGAGATTTTGTGTATGTAAAGTTGCTAACATCTTAATTTGAAGGCGTTTCAGTCGTCACTAATTCTTCAATTTTTCGACCACGTCTAATTTGTCTTAACTCTAAAATGATTTGATAGGGAGAGCCTTTTCTTTTCTTCTTTCCCATTTTTCTGTGAAGATTTCAGATGTTGCTATGCCCTCGGCTGTTTAAATATCTTCAAAACATCAAGTGTAATTGAGCTACCAATGTATTGGCTGATGAGTGTGAGGTCTTCTTGAGATCAGTTCACCTGAAGCAGTCGGGACTCGTGTAATATGCATAAATCGTTCTCGAATTCATTGTTATTATTTGCTATTCAATTTTAACCTAAAAAAAAAAAAAAAAAAAAAAAAAAAAAAAAAAAAAAAATCCTGCTTTGGGGCAAGTTGTATTTACTGCAATAAATAAATTCATAAAAATAAAATAACCGTTGTCTGTGCATAGCATTTTACAAAATTCTTTTATATTTGCAATGGCAAGCGTCATCAGTGGGCCTCCCAATCACCATACTCATAATGTGCTATCAATTTATTCCCCAGAAATATTGCTGACCTTTGAATAAGTAGCTCACTCTAGTTGAGTAAAATGCAAGTTTTTGGGCATTACATTGACTCAAAGTACCACATGTACAAAGCAAAAATATATGTTAGAGATGCAAAACGAGAACGGTTGCAAATAAAAAACTAAGATACAATTAGGAATACAAGGAATGCAATGCAACGCCTCGTCAATATGTAAAAGTGGTTTTACGCAGACGGAAGAGAGCGCTGCAAAACGCTGTTGAACTAAACGAGAAGCGTAACCTAGGAAATATACACCTATATAAGAAATGACTTGTCTTCATAGAGTAATATATAGGGGTCATTAGTGAAGGGGTACTTTGTACCCAACAATTTTTTTAGATCTCCGACGACTAAAAATTTGAATGATCCTTGAAAGAGACATAAAATAAAAGTACGTTGCAGAGTTTTAAAACGTAAAAATATTAATTTCTCAAAGACAAGCCTACAGGCATTACAAAAAGTGAACAAAATAGGAGAAAAAGGTAGAAATGATACATAAAAAAATTGAGAAACTAGGCATTGCTTCCCGCCACGAAAAATGGCGCCGATTCCCATGGAGCAGTGCGGGCCTTTACCAATGGATATATTAGTAACATACCCGATGCAAAACGACGGGAAAAAGCGTACACTACGAACGTGGTGAACGCTCAAGATCAGAAAGAAAGTTTCATTTACTTGAAGTGAAAGCTTTTAAGAGCAGATGGATATCCATTGGACGGCTAAAGACTTCTAACTTTATATTCAGGCAGCATGTTATTTCCGAAAATGAAGTTTACAATTAGAATCAAAGATCCAAAACGGTGGAAGCAAACAAACATTCTACATCACACTTGCATGCCGGTGCGAAGCAGCACTGCAGCTGCAGGCCGCTTCGGAACTAAGACCCCCTTCAAATGGCCGTGCTGCATCACACTCAACGCTAGACCACGAATAGTTGTATCGGCTAGGTTGCGCTTGAAATGAGGAATGAAGGTCGCATGCCCACCCGTTCCGGGCTTATTTTAAGGATCCGCTATTATTGTTGGCAAAATAACAAATCAACCCGTTTGATACATCACGTCACCTCATAATGTTCATCAGCCATAGTAAGTATAGGTTAATAGACTACACAAGGGTGATAACTATTGTTATCTTATAATAATTCGTCGTCTACCGCACGGAAGTGCTTATCTTGATTGCAGTATCTCGGTATTTTGCTCTAAAATTTCATTTTTTTTTTTTTTTTTTTTTTTTTTTTTTTTTTTTTTTTTTTTTTAAAGGAGAGCTGTCCCATCAATAAATTTGCCGGACATTTTCCGTATATTTTATTTCATTGAAGAGAAAAGTCCCTAAACTGTTTGGACCAATTAATGTGACAGTTCCTCCAGGGAAAAGTAATATTTCTAGAAATACCTATTGAAACAGCGCAGCCGAAGCCGAGATACATTCCTATGCGACAACATTCTTTTCCATAAGGCAATATCGAAATCTCTAGAGCAAACATTCCCACTTGTCACTGAGAAGTTAGTAGGGGACCTCGCTTTGTCTCTAGTCTAAACTTTTCCTTTAAAGGAACGTTAGAGTAACGAGCAGAGGCGGATCCAGCAGATTCACAACATTAGTACTTCTCCATTTCATCATATCGATGGCCAAAGTGTCAAACCACGTATCTCCGTTTGCAACGTTGAAGAAATTCCTGTTATACTTTTGTCTACTTTGGAGAATTAGTCAGCGGGTTTAATGCTTTTTCCTCTTTGTTGGCAGAGTGGTGTATATAAATTTCAAGCTATAAAACTGGTTTAAAAAAATAATTTTTAAAAAAAAAAATAAAATTTCAAGCAAAATCGGAAATTTTGAAACATTGCAACGGTGATAGATAATTTCGCACTACGGCAATCGATATTTTGAATAATCGATTTTTATCGGAGCACCGGCTCTTTCAAAGATTGATTCATTTTCATACGGGTGATTTCACGATAATAGGAATAGTCGTGTCGCCGTGGGTTATGAACGACATAGGGCAAAACGATTGAAAACCAAATTAATTAATCAATAGGAATGATGTCCCTGAACCTATCCATGCTTAAAAATATGATGAATTATTATTATATTTAATAATATGAGACTTTAAAGGCCGAAAATGTCCGGTCGGTTACGCGTCGCCAACCTCGATTTTGAAGCAAAAGAGCAATTTGCGGTAACATATCAGTACTGATCATGAACTCTTTGGCAATATTTGCTGAAAAGAGACTCTAGTGTTCAAGAAAATTGCCAGTTTGAACTGAAATGTTTATTATTGAGTGAGAAAAGTCATAAGAAAGAGGTGTCGCCACATTTGGCAACACATTTTTGCAGTTGTATTAAGTGCAGTGTTTATCTCGCCAAATGGAGTCAGGAGTTTCAAAACTGCCATCAAATTGTTCGCTGAAGTCTTCTTGACAAAACCATTACTGATAAGTCACTTTTTTTTACAATGAAAACTTTAATTTTTATGAAAACCAGTGATTTTTACGTGTGTAGCACTAATTCCTCACTACGCAAAAACCTCAATTTAATAGTATTTAACTAAAAGAAAGTCTCCAAAGTCTAGAAAACTTTTAAGGCAGCATTAATTCCACGTCACAACTTAAGAATTGCCAAGTTTCATCTTTTGTATCATCTTTAATCTCACATTTTTGAGTGTCGGTTACGCTGCGTCTGTTACGTAACCGACACAATTTGGCAGGGCCGCCTTGTTTGCGTGGACCTCCAGCAGTCCCGCCGGAAGCGCTGATACCTGATTCAATGGCTTATTTATCAATCACTTTAACTTTGCACTGAATCATTATAGAGCGTGCCAAAGCTGGGAAAAGGAAGTTTAATACCTTTAAAATGAGGTAATGAAATCCTGTTAAAATTGGTGCACTTTTATTTCTAAGGTATTTCACATTTTAACTATTCCTGTTATCGTGAAATCACCCATAAGGTTAAATGTAGAGGGAACAATGTTATCAGCTTGTCTGATCTGCCAGTGGCAATTAGGGCTGACAAATAGAGTACGATAGAGTCGCTAAATATTGGAGCGCCGATGAAGTCACTTTTCGAGGCTGTTTTGTCCAGTGCGGTGACAGGCGCTGTCGTATGCGCGGAGTCCCAGCTCCGAATTTCGCTAAGAAAACACAAGTTTTTTAAAATTACTTTTAAAAATCCGGGAGCTTCGTACATTTTTAATTAGTTATGACTTAGGTCAACATTATTTGTCAAAATTCGGGAAAATAATAATCAATTGGACGGATTTAAATCAAGAGATGTTTGACTGTCACTTGTGCACTAGTGCACCCATATCTAATCCATCTTCTTATTGTTTTATAGCGGGGTAGGGGGGCATAATAATTAAGATCCAAATATTAATCCAATGTCTTAAGCAAATCAATCCTAGATCAATTATCTTAATCCTAGTGTATAGTCCCCGAACAGTTTGTAAAATAGTTAGGGCCGGTGGCCAATGGCACACCAGCCTACCCATTACAATATTGTAATTAGTTCATAGTTTTTAGTTATAAAAAAATAGAGTTAATACCTTGTAGTCCTCTATATAATCAATAAAGAAAAAAGAAAAAAAAAATCAAGAGGAACTAAATCCATTCTGACATGAGCCCTGCACGAGATCTATGAAAATGCATGCATGGCAGGGTTCAAGTCAGAATGGATACAATTCCTTTTAGCTTAAATACGTCCAATTTAAATCAATAAATCTCGGAAACCCCTCGCTGATATTCTCACATAAGCCGCCACGTTAAAAAATGTCGTTCTCTCCCCGCTTGGTTGACTCTTTGAGGAAACAGGAAGCCAGGAATGCACCGTTGAAGGATTGACTTGAGCACTGCCGTGCTAAGGAAGAACGCCGTATAAACATTCGAGAGTTGCCAAATTTCCTTCGATAAAATGTGAATTTTTATGGAGGTTTATGAATATTTTTCTCTAAAATTTTCAGGAACCTTAGGTAAAATTGCGAACAAAATAATCTGAAAAATTGGAAGAAAAATAATGATCAGAGGCGGATCTAGCAATTTGGCAACACTGGACTGCCTCCATTTAATCCCATGCTAAATAATCGATCCTTGTCGGATTACCTGGCCCCCCAAGAATCGATACATTTCTATAGGTTTAAATGGCGAAAAACAATGTTGCCAATTTGCTGGATCCGCCAATGATAATGATAGGTTTTCTGGGAAATTCGTGTTTTATCTGGAGAAATTTGGTAAGGCCTGAAGGTTCTTACGGCGTTTTTGTTTAGTACGGGAGAGAAGCGTTGCGGTGGAAAGCGACTCTATTGTACTCTATGGGCTTCAAGGGCGGATCTCTAGAAGTAGCGCTTGGCCATCCACTTGATAAGGGCCCACTCGGGGCGGGCGTAGACGATCTGGCCGTCGATGCGGTAGGTGGTGAGGTTGAGCTCGGCGACGGTCTCGTAGCCGGAGCGCTCGGCGAGCCGCTGGGAGGCCTCGCCGGTGAAGACGGCTGCGGAGACGGGGGCGTCGTGGAGGCGGCAGACGTGGGCGCGCGCCCGGAGCATCTCGTGCCCGACCCCGCGGCGCTGGTAGCCCGAGGCGACCGCCAGCCCGAGGCCCCGCACGAAGGACTCGCACGAGTACAGAGTGAAGATGTCCGCCCGGGCTCTCGCTTGTACGTCCGAGTGTGTTTGCAAGCACTGCTGCTGCTTCACCGAGCGACGACGTTGACGCTGGGCAAAAAATACAACTCTAAGCTTACTTTTCCAAAAAAAGAAAAAGAGAATGATCAAATCCAGCCGGCACTCATATAGAGGCCGGCTCTCCAAAGAGAGCAACACCTCCGGCCCGATTATTGAAATTGACAGGCAAAGCTATAGATTGACCTAGCTATAGCCTGAAGAGAAGACAAAACGCACTTGAAAAGATCCTATGAAGAAGCGGTTGGTCGCAATCGACAAAGGGGGTACGTAATCGACTAACTAACGGCAACCCACGAGTGTCCCTATAGCTAGTCCATCATTTTCTCCCTTCGTCTATAGGAACAACCCTTTTCAACCAATAAGATCGCTCCTTATCCCTTTTGTCTTTTTCTTCTATAGCTTTATCTGTCGAGTTCAATAATCGGCCCACTGGTTGTGTCTCTTGGTCTATTAGTCTCACAGACTCAGATCGTAGGGGTTTTCAGACATGCCGGATGAGAAAAAATCAGAAATCGAGAGATGACCGTCTAGAAACTTGGAGGGAATAGAGGGAAAGGGAATACTTCACGCATTGCGTCAAACACAGTGCGGTCAGCAGCGGTCGGCGTGAAACGCATAGCGCCTACAAGACTGCATGAATACTTCACGCATTGCGCCAAAGACACTGCGGTCAGCGCGACACGGCGCGGCGGCGGCGGAAGTTAAGATTATTAAACCACATTTATGTTCGGTCTTTCATAATTTTTTCGATTATTTCTTATAGATGGAAGGCCTTGTCTACACAGAGATCGGTTTACGGAGCTTACTTTCGCGGAAAGTCCCGTTTCAGAGAAATGAAAGCAGAAAAGTGTTAGGAAAAAACCTCCCATTCGATAAGGAAATCGATAGCCGATTCGAATGCGAGGTTTTTTCCGAACACTATTCTGATTTCATTTCTTTGAATTTTGCCAATTTTTGGGTTTATAATGATTCTGTAGGCTCATGCGCAGGGGCTATCGTCCTTTTTTTTGCTAAAAATTAAAAATCGACCGAGATTTTTGACTTAAACGATGCGATGTGCTCAAAAAAATCCTTCCAATTCAAAGCTGCCGCCTTGTTTGGGCCCTAATGGGCAACTTCCATGGCGCCCAGTGTCCATCCTATCCTTCTAAAGGCACTCTAGCTTTGAAAAATCATTCGACAATCTTAGAAATGAACCTACCTCTGCTGGAGGTGGAGGCTGCTCTTTTTTCTGGATTTCCAGAACGTTGCAAGAAATCATGCGATCTCTTCGCCCTTCGTCATCTTCTAATATTGCTGCCAAGGATGTACCTTTGGAGAGGAGCATTTTCCAATCCGAATAGGCTTCGTCAATTGCTTCGTCATCGTCAATGGTTCCTGGAAAAATAGTCAAGCGCAACGTTGTGAGTTCAGAGCATTGAGTACATAGAGTCGTAATGTAAGTAGGAGAGCTGGCGCCATGTTCTGCTCGACGAGTTCCGAGCCCGGTGTGCGGGGTCACTTTTTCGATACATATTCGATCCAAAATGGCGGTGTGGAATACGGCCGGGTCCCCGTGTATCGCAAACAATCGATTGTGTATCGAAAATGGGACCCAGCACCGCACAGGAATCTCGGAATTCGGGACCCAGAGAATGCGTAAAAGTGGCGCCAGCTCTCCCTCTTGCATTACGACTCTATGTACTCTATGGTTCGGAGACGGCAATGAAAACATCGATTACGGCGCCTGAATGCGACTATTTCTACTCGATGGATGGCCTCATTGCATAAGCAAGATTTTGAAGGCATTTTGGCCTCACTCTTATTCATTGCGACGTGGAATGCTCAATTGGAATGGAATGAAATTTGGCGTGGAATGGATTGCTCAATGAGAAAAACTTTCAATTAAGCTCATAATATTAGTGGTGCCCTGTATGAATTCTCAATTGGTAGTAGCCATAATGCAGGTGGTATTAGTATCTATGTTAAAACAATAAAAATACGACTGATATTGGTTATGGCCACTATGAATTGAGAGTTCATGAGAGACGCTACGAATGCGGTAATTATAATCTTACTTTTCCCTCAGTACTGTACCCTAGAGGGGTACACTACCCCTTCGTGAGGAGGCTACACTGTTACCGTGTTATCGAAGGCAGCATTAGTGCAAAAAAAAATTCACAAAATGGACGTGAACTGTATGCGCAACAAATTTGATGGAATAAATCCTCCATTTTTCTTGAAATCCTAAGGTATCAACGGTGAACAGTATCAGCAACAGTTGTCACGCCTCTGTCCCCTGGTCCATCTCTATATAGGATTTTTCATTTTCTTTCTCAAGTTTTTTCCTCCTTTGAATTGACTCAAAGGAGGTTTTCAAATTATACAAATAACAACCAAATTAAGAAAAATGTTAGCAAACTTGATGTTTCGTTAATTTAGTTTCTGAGGTTGAAAATTCGTTGTTTAAGAACTACCACTGAACCTTGCAACTTACCTAAGGATCTGTCAAGGTTGTCATTTGGCAAAAGATGTTCAATCATAAACGCTGCTGCCTCTTCGATCATAGATTCGTCGACATACTGGATGCGATACTGAAGAGAAGGACGGCTGACAGAGGCTTCTTGTTTCACGCGCTTGATCACAAGACAGCTCCTATCTCTAGAGCACATGGTCTTGAAGTCTTTCACCACAGATGATCGGATTGCAACAGAGTGTCAGGGTTATAGCTTTACATCTGAAAAGAGGCAAAAATTTATCCTGAAGTGACTTTTAGTGGTTTGAAGTGAAACATTAAATTATGCGTCATTCTTTCTCACAAATCAAGTAAAATAAAAAAAATTTCCATGAGATATTTAAACAATGTCTGGTCTTTAAATGATATAACTGACACATTCCTCCGTTCACCTATTCTCTTTCTCGCTTAGAACTCACGCCAATTTCGGAATTGAAAAACGTCAAGTATCAAGACAAGAATGCCCCCGACCCTGAACAGCCACCTATATGCTAGTCATTTCAACATAGCACTAAGCAACAGCTAACGTGAGTGGTTACAGGAAGAATTTTTTGTTCTCACCATCGAATGAATTAACTTTCAGAGTGAAAAGAAACCTAAAACACGATTATCGAATCTATACTAAGAGAGAAAGTATTTTTAATTCTTCCTTAGAGTCGCACATTTTTTTGATACACGAAAACAATTTTGAGCTAAGAAAACTTATTTTACTACAGAGTACTTTAAGAGTCAATTAATGGATACACTATCAATATTCACTCAAATTGACAGAAACGAGTCAATATATTTTTGGTTTCTATTCATATAAATCAGAACAGAGGTGCTAGTGCTTTGTCTTTCAAAAATCGATATGTTTGAGGAGGAAATGGGTGCTCCAAAAATTCATGAGTTTAACATTCATATTTTAACATTCTCAATTCAGTACGACTTCTAGAATCTGAAAACTTTTAACTGTTAATGAAATTCAAAGCAAATGCCGAGATACGGATAGAAGCGTCATTGGCTCATTTTCAAACACATCCATGTTTAAAATACATATTATAAGAGAGGAAAATCTTACCTGAGCCAGCGCTCTTGTCGTAAGTTAAAGTGACAACATCACACTGACTTTCCAATCCCGAATTCCAAGATTCTAATAAACTTCACTTAAAGGCTTTGATTCTCTATAACGACATCTCAATCAGTAAATTTCTTCTTTTGTTTTTTCACTGGTGTCATTAACAAAATATAAACTGAGACATAAGGCCAAGAACTATGAGACTCGATTGATTTGGATTTCAACTTCGTCATTTTAGGAGAGCCGGTGGACAGATTAGAGACGGGTATGAATAATAGGAGATAAAATTCGAAATAAGTACGTAGGAGTTGCGTTGCCAGTCAAGTGTCGCGGCGGATACGCCAATATTCACCCACAATACTCACAACAAAGTTTTCCGAGCTTGAGTCTCGAGATCTCAAAACAAGCATTCACAAACTAACATGCCTCTGAGATTGAATCAAACTCTGTTGGTTCTTGGCCATGTCAAGATAACAGAAGTTTGTTTATGTTATTGCTGTGATAGGATCCAAACTATTCATCCTCACATCTACCAACACAATCATTATTTTATGGAACGTATAAAACATTTTTTATAGATACTGTTGGCAAAAATCGAAAACTTTGCATGCTCGTTCATGATGCATGATATAAAAAGCATAAGCTGTCGGATCCCATCTTGACTCTTGAATATGATATAACACAAACACTTATAACAGAAATGGGACCTCTCTCGAGATAGTTGCATATTTGTCTCCCCGTATTTTACAAGACATCTTGAGCGAGCCGAAATGTCTCGCCAATAATCTGAAGTATCCAGATATCGGCATCAATTGAGCTATAAAGCTCTCTCTTGGTCCAGAGCTGTGATGGTCATGGGTTTTACGCTTTAAATTGCCCTATTATTATAGACGAGGAGGGGCACAGTCATGAGAGCAGGCGGACATTTTGTTCTGGTTGGGGACCCAAATAGTATGCACATCGATGGTGAATAAACTGCGAAAATGTGTGAAGAACCAAAGTACCTTCATTTCGTTACCCCGCACTAAATTCAAGACCTACGCGTAAAGGTGATTAAAAATTATTCAAGACAAGATTTGCCAACTCAATCCTCTTGGATCTCTCTTGGATGGGTATGGGTAATAACTAACTTTTATATTGCGAGCCAAGTGGAGGTTTCAAAAGCTATGTAGCTTTGAGATTTCAGCATCTAAAAATTTGTAAACAAAGGCATATCGATAAGGGCCGTTTCCGGATCCACCTCGAATTTCACCGACTCAACAACTTTTGTGCTCATTAAAGGTTTATATTTCACGGAATGCATCATGATTTAACCATTTTCAGTCTCTTTTTTTGGATCTTACACTGGCCTAACAATGGGTCTAAAGGCCGAATTTGGCGGAAAATACGGGGCTTGTGGGTCTGCGGAAGACCGCTGAAACATCTGCATTTTTTGCTAAAATCGGTCTTCACCAGGGCCGGATTTACCTACTTGCCGACCATGGGCCGCCTGTATTTTGCCGCCCCCCTCTCATTCGTTTTGAAACATCAGTAAATACTATCAAGTGAGCCTGCCCGAAGGGAAAGGGTGCATAAGACGCGTTCACTCGTGTTGGACAATTTTTTTTGCGAAAGCCCTGTCAACACCACTAGCAAAAGTTCACGGAACTTTGAGCGGGAGTTAAGTTTCGTAAACCCATCTCTGTGTGGACAAAACCTTCCATTTCCAAGAAATGAACGAAAAAATTATGAAAGAACAAATATAAATGTGGTTTAATAATTTTAACTTCCGCTGCCGCGTCGCGTTGCGTTGATCGCACTGTGTTTGGCGCAATGCGTGAAGTATCCCTACGGTCTTGGAGGCACTATGCTTTTCACGCCGGCCGCTGCTGGACGCACTATGTTTGACGCAACGCGTGAAGTTTTCATGCATTCTTGTAGGCGCTGTGCGTTTCACGCCGACTGTTGCTGACCACACTGTGTTTGACTCAATGCGTAAGGCGTAAAGTATTCATACAGTCTTGTAGGCGCTAATAGGTGTTTCATGCCGACCGCCGCGCCGAGGATTTCTCTTTTTCATCTCAAGTCCTCGTCATCATTGCTCTCTGAGCCGCGCCGTTCCAGGCCAAATTCCAAGTTCGGTTTCTCTCTTAACTCGACTAATTAAAGGTGCTGTCTCTTGAATCACCGAAAGACGAGAAAATTAGAAAGTACTATACTCTCAGGAAATGAGAGATTTTGTCGCCTTCTCGTTTGTAATTTTTTTTCTGAGTCCGATTCTTTTATAAACCTACATTTAAAAAAAATTGCAAAATTTGCCGTCATGGGCCCTAAATCCGGTCCTGGTCTTCACACCGATGTTGAGGGCAGTATTAAACCTGAAAAAAGAGAGGACCAAATCATGATGCATTTCGTAAAATATAGACCTTCGTTGAAAAGAAATCGTAAAGTTGAGGCAACTCAGCTAGGTATGACCCAAAAATGTTCTTTATCGATACCCCTATTTTCGGAGGAAACTGATTTTTTGTTGAATTTTATTTGACGGGCTTGTTATCCTGATTAGACCCCACCTCACCTCCGCAGAATACTATACCCTGATTTGATTTAATTGATGTTCTTTCATGACTCCTTTAATAGACCCATTGAAAATGATTGCCACCATGCATCACAACATAGGTATTATTGTCAAAATTTTACGTCGAACACGGTGGATGCATTCATAATTTCCAATTTTTAGTCTCACATGAAAAGTGACTGATTCTTGTGTTTGCTGATTCGAATTTTCCGCTTGCCAAGGAATCAATAAGTCCCTCGAATTGCATTAAAAATTAAGAGTCAACGCTACAGTTATTTGCCTAAAAATATATAATTTATTCTGCCTTAGCCACTTTGTCCAAAGCTTTTTTCCTAAGGGCAAGAATTTTTGATTAACTAATTTTAGTGCGCTGATCTCTCATACACTTATTGCTTTAATTTCGACATTCAATATATTTTACATTAAATTGGAAATCAGACATACGTAAGTAGTGCTTTTATTCACACCATATCTATTAGGGTACACTTTTCCACTCCGACTTTCCGAGTGCCTATTTCCGAGGCTGTGTAAGTGTCTTAACACCATCTTACAGCTATTTTACCTTTTCATTTCATCCGTCAGACTCGGCTCTCTATCAACTTCAATACCTAAAAAAGCTTTGCCAACAATATACTATTTTCTGGACGCTCGTTATTTGTTGCAAACAAAAAGAACCCTTTTAACTTGCCAATGGCTTTGTCCATGTTGTCATTTGGCAGAAATGGTTCGACCATGAACGCCACAGCCTCCTCGACCAAAGATTCATCAATAAACTGGATGCAGAACTGAAGAGAAGGGAGCTCAGGGTAAGCTTCTGATTTCACTCGTTGGATGAATTGAGAGCAGCTGTCGACGCAACACATAGTCGCAACAAACTTCTGTGCTATACCTGAATTGCCAAGGATCAAAAATAAAATAAGGTAAAACGCAAATGCTCAGGAGCTATTTTGATTTCAGCTGAAAAACAAGAGAGGAATTTTTTTAAGCTTCTTGGACTCCACTTTTCGGTAGCCGAAACCTGGAAGATTTTTCTCTGAATGAAAAATACAATGAAATAAAGAAGCTGTGGTTGTTGTATTTACAATTCATTTTTATTCATCCTTTGTTCACTTTCCTTTGTGACTATTTTTTCTCTTTTTAATGGACCACTAGACAAGGTGCGAATGTCAGCATTGTGATACTTGTGTCTTCACCAAAATTTCACGCAAAACACGATGCGCACAACGAAAATTACCGAAATCAACTCCTTCCGAAGATATTTAATGATTCATGGTACGTGAGTTCAAACCACCCGCTCATGAAAACTCAATGCTCTGCGTGATTCACATCGTGCGCTAAACGTTATCATGACAGTCTCTGCGATATAAAAATCTGGCAATCTCAATCTTAACGCTTTGGCTCAGCTATAGCAAATTGCTGATAGTTTGAACAACACATTGTGGGAAATGAACATTGCTCGATTGAGAAGCTTGCTGAAACCTTCGTAGTGTGCGATTTGACTCACGTAGAGCTTTGAGTTTCTTGTGAGCGGGCAGTTCAAATTCCTCGTAACCAATGTGAAATAAAAACATTAATATCTTCGTTAGGAGTTGGTTTCAGTAATTTTCGTTGTGTGAATCGTGTTCTACGTGAAATTCTGGTTAAGAAATATGTATCAGATCGCTTAAATTCGTACCTTGTCTAGTGGTCCATTTTGATTGCTTATTTCAATTAAAGCAAACAACTAGGTCTAAGACGTGTTTACCATTTAAGGACCCTTTTTATTGCATGCATCTTTTTCTGTGTCTCTACTTATTCGTGCACTGACAGCTTGAATACACGGAAAAAAATCTTTGTTGCTTATAGCCAGATAGTAGGTGACATTTACCATCTTGGATTCCCAGATTCGACCCCTGAGAACAATTTTGCTACGAGCACAAATGTATGATGGTTAGAAACCTTAAACCGCGATCAGGTAGGCGTTTACAACAAAGATGGTAATTCGCACCAACACTGCTGGGCGGGCGCGCCGTCCTCCGTAGACGTCCCGCACAGCGTTGCTGAGATAGACCTTCAAAGATGGTAAAGTGACCCATCCGGATGTTTAGTGTATCAATCATGAGAGCAAGGAGAACCTAATATTTTGTGTTTTTAGCCATAAAGAGGAGTATTTTCTTGTAAAACGTACAGCTAAAAAAATTGAATACAAAGGTGTGCAATGTCGGGGTTCGCAGCTAGGGGATGGTGGAAAAGGGTTTATCGCGTAAATAAATTTCAAAATCGAGTAAAATGAGACTACAGTACTTATTGTGAGGTGCTGTAGTCGTATCCAACCTATCAAATTTTTTTGCCTACCGCGAGAATTGAACTCGGGACCTACCGTACCCTAGCCGAATACCCTAACGATTGAGCTATACAGTATGATGAGAATCTTGACCGAAAAACCTGTACATAGCTTCGATTTGAACGGGAAACCAGGATATTCAATCTACATACTTAGATTGGTTCATTCATTTTTCTAATTTTTGTATTTCATTTTATTTTTTAACGTTATTTTATTTCGTTACTTCATTTTAAATTGTTTACTTTATTTTTTTTCTTTTCGTAATATAATTTTTCTTTGACTATTTCTATTTATTTATTTCCTTTATTTTAATTTTTTTCCTTTGTTTCTTTACTTAATTTTAATGTTTTACTTTATTGTTTTTTCTTTACTTAATATTATTTTTCTTTGATTATTTATTCTTTATTTCTTCCCTGTATTTTACCGTTACTTACTTTATTTTTTACTACTTTTTACTTTATTTCTTGCAATTTTTTATTTTTTTACTTTAATTCAGTCACTTCATTTTAATTTTTATACTTCATTAAATATCCCTTCGTTGTTATTTATAACTGCATTTTATTTATCTATTTTTTCTTTTTTCTTTTCATGTCGAGAATCAATTCAAAATTTTCAAACTAGGATTATTTTTATGATTGGCTAAAGTGCTTCTAGCATTGGACAAATAAGCCCAGGCTACTTACTTGAACAGGTGAGATTATGTAGAATAGAAAATAAAAAAATTACCCTTCTAAAATACTGAAGCCTTGACATGGTGTTAAATATAGTGCATGCCTAGCCTACTGGTAAACCTTGGATGTTTAGCTTAACGACAGCATACAATTGACATGAAACATTGATAAAACATTAGTAACAATTGATACATTTCTGCCATTTCCTTGGAATTTTGAATGTAGAAAAAAATTGATTTTGAAAACTATTATTAGTACCAGGGGCCTTTGGCCACTACGCTGCCGACAACCAATGCGGAAGAAAACAACATACGTAAAAAGTCGTAGAACAACCGTGTTCAAGTTATCTCGGAGATTAATGGATTCAAATACCGTCAATGTTTTATTTTTGATCAATGTTTTTAAAAGAATACACACTGTTATTCTACTGAGTTTCCGCACATTTTCCTGAGTGATTTAAAATAGATAAAAGAAAATTTTACTTAAAACGCATAATATCCAAAATCTAAGCTCAGATTCGGCTTCCTCGTGAAAAATCGATACAATTTCATGTATCATATGTCACCATATCATGAAGGAAGGAGATTACGTAGGCGTGTAGATTCTACCATATCAGTCCGACGAGGCAACATGGGTGATTCGGAGTGGGTCAGCTGATGAGTAAGAAGAAGTTTGTTTTCGCGGAAACGGACGAACCAAGCTCGGCGCCTGGCGCTTGGCGGCGTAGCTCAAACGTTTGGATTCTGTGCCTACTTCCGCATACCGGCCGGCTTTGACAGAATCTTTACGCCTACGATTGCCCTCTTTTCTTCATGCTATGGTAACATATGATACATGAAACGGCATCGATTTTTCACGAGGAAGCCGTTTCAAGTTGATTTTTCTGAATTTGAAAATTTTAGACGCAGCCTAAATTGATACATCGGCTCCCATTCCATCGATTAAATTCGAATTTTTAGTCTAATTTCGAAAAACCAAGGTAGTGGGCGTGACCTAAAACGCTATCTCGGTTCCTGCTCGTCGAATTTTCATAAAACTTGGTGCCAAGGGGAGGGGGGGAGGAAAGAAATTTTCAAACACTGCAATCGATATGTCACAGGCAAATTATAATCGCAGGTAAAATTAGCCATTTTGTCAGATGCCTAGGCAAATAGTCGAATACTAGGGGGCTATGCCCCCTGACCCCTACGCGGTCAAACCCCCTGAAGGCGCTCCGCGCCATCGGCCCTATCTTTACCTCCTAGTGTGTGCTACCTCCTATCAGTGTTAGTTTTATTTTTCCCTCAAAAATTACGATATGAGGTATACTTTACTTTTAGAATGAAATAATTTTTGGTTTTGATGAATATTTTAGTTCGTTTTAATCCGTTTTTTTTTATATCAGTGAAAAATTTAACATCGTCCGAGTTTCTGAATTGTTGTAATAAATGCCCTTTAATTATCATTAAAACCGAGCAGAGTCAAAAATAATTAATTGCTCGAAGTCATATAGTTTTGCGGCGACTTTACCGTCGCCCGAGCCAGGGACGGGAAAAGGAGTACGCTCCACGAACATATTATTACACGCTTATCAGTCACACAAGGTGGGTTGAATATGAATTCTTGAAAATTTATCAACTTACTTTCCCTAATCAGCCCATATCTGATTGCTTTCTTTGGTGACTCAATGTTGGTAAAGCGTAAAAAATTGACGGGACAGACTACTAACAAAATAACTTGAGTTATCTGAGATGGTGACCTTCATAATCAACAAGTTTATAATTTGGACTAACGCATTCTGTAGTTCAATAAGCCCTCTTAACCGAGTAGCATCAACCAAAAACAAGATAAGTGAAGCGCAAGCGCACTCTTTGGTGCAATGAGTCAACTTGATGGAGCAGTTTACCATCAATTTTGTCTCGGTGAACAGATTTGTAATAGCTAGTAGCAACTAATTGAAAATAATTGATTTCCCTAAAGACGTTGTGAACAATACAATACCGTTGGTTATTCTATCAATTTTTTCATGTATACGGCACCAACTTTTAATTAACAAAACCAAAATGGTTATCCGCGCACAGTCATTTTTTTCCGTGTATTACGGAGAGGTCTCATACAATTTGAATGGTCCATTAACTCCCTGACCTTCTTAGTCATGGAAAAAGAACATCCAAGAGGTTCCAAAATTTCTTTCAATCCATTTCTAGAGAAGAGAGGATTGTGAAATAAATGTCCCCAAATTCAGGAATTTCCGAGAGTGTTTTGTGATTAGATGCAAAAATCGTGATTCAAAATATGTTTATGCTGCTTCAGAAGGTTATTCTGCAAGTAATACTTACAATATGACGAAACTAGTCAAATAGATTCATCGAAGTTTTAAGCCACGGTTGAAAATTCACGAATCTCATAAGAAAAATTAATTTAAATTAAATCGAGTCATTAGCTAGGTACCAAGTACACGCACAGTTTCACACCACGCAAACACTCACCTGATTTGATTATATGACGCAAGTTTTCGACCCAAAAGTCACTCCATCCAACTACAACTGTACAACATACTGTACTAAGCAACCTTTTCACAAGAGCACTCTCTTCAGATTACAAGAATAAAAAACGAAAGATTATGGTAAGATACGAAAAAAAAGTATATATATTGCACTCACAAAAGCTTTATACTTTTTTGAGAGGATTCGGAAGTCCCTCCTTCGTATATTTTAAATCGACGTTGGCATGATTACGATGCATCAAAAAATCGGCAGTCTATGGTCACCCGCAGGAAATGGCTAAGGTGGGCAATCCTCTCGCATCTAGAGTAAGAATGCTGCGCGGTTTGAACTCTTTTCGATCAAATGGAAAAAATCCCCCGTGGGCTCCAAGATACTGTTGGAAAATTCCGCGCTCCATCGGTTCGCCGAAGAAAATGGCAAGGGGGAATGTTATGACCTTTTCAGATTAGTCGCCTAGGTTCCATTATTGTTAGCAGGTTTTTGCATTTTTCGATCGAAAGGAAAGAATTGCCTATGGGCTATATAAAACAATGTTGAAAAAGAAAAAATCTGGGCAACACATGCAGGGAATCGTCAGAGAGGTCCTGAATTCCAAATATTTATAGTGTTATGGTATTTGATTATGTAAAGTCACCAGTTAAAAGAAAATTCGTGAGAATTTGCGGGGGATATCGCATTTAAACACATACTTTTGCGGAAATAATTAAAAGAGAGAGATGAAAATATCCAAGACTCTGCGAAAATATACAGGACGTACGTATGCGAGCGCTTTCAAATATGTCAAAGGTTTTCCTGAAAATTAATTTGATACATCCCACAGAATAGACTTAAAACACGCATTAAAATGTGATGACTGCTGCTGTACAGCTACGGATGAAAATAACATTTAAATTGGCAGATGAATATANGGGGGGGGGGGGGGGGGAGTGTCTAACCTCGACCTTTTAAAGAAAGATAAAAATCAGACTTTGTCAAAATTTTCTAACGTGTGAGTCCAACCTCTGTGAGAAGTATATGCTTGGATTTTTCATTACGGCCTCTCTTGTGGTATTTTTCGAGCATTTACTACACACGCGGCGTAGAGCAAATAGTTGTCATGGTGGAATGGTTTTTATAACAAAAATATGACGAGAGGGCAACCCTCTGTAAATTCCTATTAAATCGAAAGAAATTACAGCAGCCGCTCCGGAAGACAAATCGTCGAATCATGCGTGGCAGAGAGAGCGCCTTCAAACTTCTCTATAGGCATCACGGTCACCTTTTGAGCGCGAATAGTCGCATCTGCAGGAGTTACCATTTCCACTGCTTTCTCATGTCTCCGAAATGGTCCCATCGTTAAGTAAGATTCTGACTTTGAAAACTTTCTTCGAGCGATCAAGCAGAAAATGTAGAATTGTACGTGTCCTGATGAAGATAATGAAAACAAATTCAACTATATCACTGAAAATTTTGTCAGATCGATCGTAGCCTCTTTAATCAGTGGGTCGGACGGAGATCAGTGTGCGAGAAGTGATTTTTCAGTCAGATCGCGCGAATTTCAAAAAGAGCAATTCAGTTGCGATGGTGCTCGTGCTTAAAAAAGCCACACTTGATTTTCCGCATGTGTCCGCAGAAAAGCATGGGCGCAACTGAGGACTTTTTGTAGGTGGGGGTGGGGGGCGGGCACCACCGCAATAGGGAGGCTCCGAGAGGGCACTATAAGACGACCATCAAGGGGGATCTGTGGAACTTCATCATATCTCCTGTAGAGGGGTTGGGGGATTTTTGTTAGATCCAAGGGGGGTCCGGGAGGCCTCCCTCAGAAAAGGAGGAACTGGGTCGTCTCACCTTAAAATTGGTCGAGATATCATTTCATGGGTGAAAGACGTGTCACGCACTTATTTAGAAAAATCTCTTACATTTTCTCGAGGAGACCGAGTACATTTCCTGAGGAGACCCTCCCCCCCCCCGCTCCCCCTTCCTGGTTCTGCACATGGGAGGAGGGATAAAGACAAATATATAAATAGCGGATTCGATAGAAAAATGTAATATAATTCACGAGCAGAAAGCTGAATTTTATTGTAACTATTGTAAAAATTATACACTTTAAGAAACGTCCTGGAGACTAGAAGTCGTGGGAATTACAGATGAACCTTGCAATATGAAGTGAACGCGTCGTCCCATTCGCTTCCAACACAATCTCGACCCTCTTTCACACACCCTTACCCCTTGTAAGAGGCTTGGATACAACGTAACGATACAACGTAACGATACAACGTAATATACCTGATTCTGATACTTCAAAAGTAACGTATGGCCATGCACTTGATGAGCGACGACGATGGTCGGAGGTAGACGAGTTTGCCATGGATGCGATATGTGGTGAGGTCTAGTTCGGCGAGTGTCTCGTAGCCGCACTTTTCAGCGAGCTTTTGGGAGGCCTCGCTGTCGAAGACTCCTGCGCTGACTGGGATCTTCTTGATGCTACACACCTTAGCGCGTGCCTCCATCATTTCCACTCCGATGCCCCGACGCTGAAACTCGGCCGATGTCGCTAAACCATAATCCAGCAGCACAGCGTCACATTCGTACTTCTTGAATATGTCAGCTTTTGATATAACTTCATACATGGCCCTGAATATGATCCCGAACTTTTCAGATGGATACTGCTGATGTTTAAGAAAATGTGAGACAAAGTTGAAAGAAGTTGGATAACCGGCAAGCATCAAAAAGTTTTATTCAAGGAATGTCCATAAATCGTCACCCCTTGACGTAATGGTGTATCTCTATTTCCACACGAGCCCCAGGAACCACAGAGTTATACGGAGAGTAGGGTTCATGTGTAAATCGAGATACGCCCTTAAATCGGAGGGGCGGCGAAATGAAGGACCATTCGGAAAAGAGCTAATATCGACGGCCAAAGTGCGAAACCATGTATCCCCGTTTGCGACGTTGCAAACTTCCTACCATGCTTTATTATTTTCTTTTGGAAGACTAGTGAGCGTATTATTTCTTAAAAACTGCTTTCATTTTTCCTCCCTATCAGCAGAATATTTCGTGTAGATTTCAAGCTGTGCAGGTCGCTAGTTCATCTTTAAAAAGAATAAAATAAAACTGGAAATGTTGAAACATCGCGATGGAAATATTCGTGGTTTTGCACTTTGTTCATTACTAAACATTTGTTGCTATGAAGAATGAGAAGGTTTTAATGCGATTCTTTGTCAGAGTCAGAGGCTTTTAATTTTATAAATTTCTACACTAAAATATCCTAGGTATAAGAGGAAGATAATTTTCCTGTGTATTCTGTGCAGAGTTTGGAGGGTTGCCGGTTGCCTTTGTAACCCTGAGTGACGACTTTCATGGTTCAATATGCTAATTATTAGCAACAGATAATGGCAACCCTAATAAAACGTTCAGCCCCTATTCATGCACTCAGAATTTGATCGAGTTCAAAGTTGGACTCCTCTTACTGATCGAGTTTCCTTTATTACGGCCTCTATATACTTGACAAGAATTTTAAGTTCAAGGGTATTTTGCTTCATTTAGAGGAAATGGTGCCATTATCGTACCCTCGCAACAACTTCAGAACCATTGGTTGAGTCAAAAATGTTCACTGCCTACAACTGTTTGCTGTTTTTGTGTGACTGAACGTAAAAAATAAAATATCACTGCGCAAAATTGTGCAAATTCTTATACCTCTGACGAAGAAAATTCCTCTTCTTCTTTCCTTCGGATGTCGAGGACTAAGCAAGAGATCATACGACCTTTGTTCCCTGCATCGTCCTCTAAAAATGCACCCAGAGAGATTCCTTTGCGGAGCCGCGTGTTCCAGTCCAATGAATAGGCAGCGACTGTCTGCTCATCGTTAATAGTGCCTGCAAAAACGAACTAATGAGAGAATAGATAACTGGTAATGTGATCATCGAGTTCTAATATTATGCAGGAATTTTCAGTAAACACAAGTAAAATTACGCCTGAATTTCAAGTCTTAAACTTGAAATTCAGGCGTAATAGACTTCTATTATTGGATCGCTGTAAAATGAGCCTGGGGAAGTCCAGTTATGTGCGAATGGACCACATTGAAAACCCTCTATGAAATTTTACCGGAGAGATTCGTTGCAAAAAGGAAATCCCCCATTTTTACCAGGCGCTGTGAAGCCCATCTGCACAAAAATGGACTACCTTTGTCGATAGCAAAACGTTGCAATGGGGGGAAAAATCTCTCATGCAAAAAAAGAAAAAACGATATTTTTGTTTACAACATGATTCCCCTTTGTCAGTCTTCCAAATCCTCAAGTCTCTATAAAGGGTCGCCATTGCCATACTCATGTTTAAAACTGTGTTTCGCATGAAAGAAACATTGTAATATTATTTTACTTTTGAAGTTGTATTCATAGGATTATTCACAGAAAAGGGGACCTCTGTCTACGAAGGCAAATTTTTCAGGAGAATGAGTTTTGCTAGCAGGGTGCGACGGTAGGTTTTCTGTTATTGTCTCAGAAAAAATTGTAAGCTGTTTGGTGCACTCCTGCGCTAAAATAAAGCCGAATAAAAATTCCGACCTCCTCAGCTTCAAAAATGGCCAATTGATATGTTTAATGCCTTTTCCCAATTTGGAAAAAAAATCATTGTCTTGAGGTGCACATTTCTGACTGTCACAACTTTGGTCTTAATTGACAATTTTTAGAGGTTCATGCCAATATGTTGGCAAAACATTTTCCACGCAATAGCATGAAGATTTATACATTTTGAGTTTTTCAAAGCTTTGAGGCCCCTTTAACTTTTGCACAGTCACATTTTAACATCCTTCATGACATTATTACTACTTACAGTGATTTGCAACAGGTAAATTCGTTCCCTTACCTACGGCCTTATCCATGTTGGTATTTGGCAAAAAGTGTTCAATCATGAACGGTACTGCCTCTTCAATGGAACATTCGTCGATAAATTGGATTCGGTATTGAAGCGGAGGAAGTCCATTAGAGGCCACCAATTTCACTCGCTTGACCAGTTGATTGCTGCTGTCAATCTTGTCCATAATTATAAAATTTCGCGCCTTTTCAAGGCACTGAAATATATTTAAGGAGCAGAAAAATGGGGAGGAATTAGAAAAATAGCAAACAAATGTCAGTCACACGAACCGCAAATATGGTGTGCTTTGCTATATATCGATTGATCTGTCATTTAAACCTATGGAAATGGATCGATAGGCAGGGTGTTCGCAACGAACACCTTATTAATCGATTCTTTACCATGACTTAAAATGGAGAAATATCGAAGATCCATCACACACGGCTCGCCACTGGTGTCCTGAATCGCCTGCACTATTCGGTTCATGTGACAGACCTTGCAGTTCTAGAGGCTGTGTCCTCGATTTATGTGACCGAGCTATCACACCAGACTAAACCATAAAAAATTTTTTTAAAAAAAAAACTCGATTTCATGAACCGAGGATGCAGTATTTTTAGAACTAAAAGTGCGGGTAAATGAACCGGATTGTAGGTACGGTCGATATAGACCACCATACTTGCGGTTTGTATGATCGATTTATTTTCCTAATGTAGGGATATCCGCATCTCCTTGGATGAGAAATTGCAGATGGCGACACCCCCTTCTCGTTTCAGGTTAGCAGGTTGACTACATAACGTCTATTTTTTATTAGTATACGCCTAGGTATATTTGGTACATTTTAAAAAAAAGGCTACAAATAGATTGTCTGACTATGTGTGAGAATCTCATGCTATGCAAATTCGTGCCGTCTCGAGCTAATCAAATCTAAGCAAAGCACGGAAAAAATTAGATTGCTGATTTAACAATTCAATTACAGTAGACTTCAGATTATCCGGCTTCGTATTATCCGGACTCTGGATTATCCGGATCGATTTTGCAACTATGTAACTACGCACGCATTCCGATAAGTTCCGATAAGAAAACTGGAAAGTACCCAAAAGTAGACGAAGCCTTATATATTTTTGTGGCTGAACCAAGCTAGATCGCAAGGTATTCTAGTTAGTGGCCCATTCTGAAATTAAAATGGACCCAATAAAAAAGTTCATAAACTTATTAAGATCACATAAGAATACTGTGGGGTTGGTTGGTGGTGCTTGTTTTTCCTATTATTATCCGGATTTTTTTTTTATCCGGATCGGTCCCGGCACCAATTAATCCGGATAATTCAGAGTCTACTGTACTGGAAGAAAGTAACTGCAATGTTTCAATTATTTTAATGTAGATTTTACAACAAAAAAATGCTACTTTAACCACCCCCGTGGTTAAATTAGCTTACAATAGTGGTTAAAGTAGCATTTTTTGTTGTAAAATCTACGTTGAGACGTTGCAGTCACTTTTTTTTAGCAATTGAATTGTTAAATCAGAAATTTAATTTTTTTCGTGAGTGTTTGTAAATGTCGCAGGCAATTACCTATCACCGGCTAGTTGAAATCTATCTGAGTTCAATACAGAAGTATGAAAACTGAGGAGAGAAGAAGCAAGGTGGAAAAAACTAATTATCATGATTTGATTTGAATTCATGTTGTGGGCTAGCACACTCTCGGGTGCATGTAGTGAACTTTGTAACCTCTGTTGGGTTTAGTTCGGATAGGCAACTAAACTAACTGCCTGGCAAAGCATGGAGTATCACAGTATTTGAAGGAGTTTCAAGGCCGAGTTCGTGCTTTCGAAATTCATCATCAAATAAACATTTCCTACATCGATGCGATTTTTTGCAATGTGACTAGTTAAAATGTATGCCGATCGCGTGACAAATTGCCGGCTATTGCTGACTGCCTATATGTCATGGCGTAAGAATGTAATAATGTAGAAGAAAGGGAACAAGTTTTTTTACTTCCAGTTCTATCAGATTTATTTTGCTTCTTTTCTTCTAATCTTTGTCCATGCTGGTATTCGATTGAGGATTACACTTTAAATGCGCACATATTTTGTTGTACTCCAACTGAGTGCCGAGTAGCGGGCCGTAATGTTTCGGTTCAGCATCTCATTTAGCTTTGTTCCCCATGTTCCATTTTATTTAATTGAAATTCTATCATTATCATAATATAGGGTAAGATTTGTTTATCTGTAGAGGCTCAACTCTGAGGTCAACTTTACGACGCTGCATTTGCAATTGCACAACAGCCAATATGCGGTTTTAAAAACTAGAGATAAAGCTATTTGCTTACTGGTGCAATTTGTCACACGTATGTTGTACAATGTACCAAGAAAATTATGTATTGGAATTCAGGATATTGACTGAGATATTTACACACCGCAGCTTGTAATATGTAATGGTCGGATTTTCCTGCCGATTTGGATAGCTGGGCCACAACGCGTGACACATTTTACCGTGGCCAATGCGGCGAGAACGGACAAGAGGTCAACTATACATATTCAAATCGTGAATTGAGCTTCGTGAAATTGCCCTTGAAATTTTTTAAAACCTGTGACGGACTTGCGTTTGTATGTTGGCAAAATAACCAAGAGCTGAGACGGATGGAAAAATTGAGACTTAGTAGTGTTCTTGCAGTCATCCAGTGCTGCTAACTTATCCATACTAAGATTTTTTTTCATGTGAAAGTAACTTCCAGATCTCTTGAAATTTAACGGAAATGTCATAGTCATGCTAAAAATAAATGTGTAATTTTACCTCAATGAACCAACCTGAATGACTCTGTCTTATTTTTTATAAAACTTTTTTTTCCGATTTTTAAAAGTGATATTTCTCTTTCAAAAATGCAGCTGACAATATCCACATTATTTTTAATTTTAATCTGTAACTTTAGATCAGTTCAATTAGAAACAGTTTCTCTCGGGAATGAGACGGTGACCGGTAAGTAAAGTGTTGTGCAGAAACCATAGTTTTAGTGATAATAAACTGTGTGCGGGAAAAAGCACTACGTAAAAACATACCTGTGAAGAAGATCGCAGCACAGTTATCGGCGATTTTGAATTTTTTGGGATACCTTTGAAAAGGTTTATGAGGGTTTTTCAGGAATAGGGCAAGTACATCTTTACACTTTAAAACCACTGAAGATTTACATGGTCTGCCTATAATATTTTTTTTTTATTTTTAAAAAAGATCAAAAAAAGCTCTGTCTTAGAGAACATAAGTCAGTTCACTACGTATCATTCCTCACTGAATAGCTCCAAACTGAGTCTTATCTGAGTGTGGGGGTGAGGGTGAGGGTGTGTGTGTGGGGGGGGGGGGCTTTGTGCACAATCACTTGGAGCAAATTGTTTTTATCATCCGAAGCTTATGTTTCAGAGCATTGTTCAGCAGTGGCGTGGCGTGAATGATCGATTATCGATATCTCGCCATTTGAAGTCATGGTGAAGAATCGATTACCAAGGTGTTCGCTGCGAACACCCTGATAATCGATCTTTTTTCATAGGTTTGAATGGCGTACCAATCGATATATCGCAAAGCACGCCACGCCCCTGTTGTTCAGAAGTAGTTATATGTATTACTTAGCTGGCAAGAAAAAAAAATATACCGATTTTAGCAGTGAGTGTTACTGGCAAAGTAAACATAAGCCATAGCACTGAGAGCTCCACCGAATTTAAAAATTCGAGCGTTACTTTAGATCATGTCTCAAGAAGTAGGAGGAGATTATGGACGATTATGAGAGAGGGGTCAAGTGGATAAAAATTTAATTAGCTTTGTAAATTATAATTAGCTCAACGAGATTCTAAAAGCCGCCAAGCAAACACGATGCCCTGAACCCCAAACAATGCTCAAATAAAGCACCAGGTGGAGGGAAACAGAAAATAAAAGAAGAAGAGTGATAAAGAGGAGAAACAGATAACGCGGGTTAGCAACGCTATCACATGTTTTTAGTGGATTATTAAGACCGATATGTAACTGACGATAATTACTGTTTGAATAGGCACTGTAACTTCTCTTCAGTTAAGTGCAATAATTACGTTCGGATAAGCTTTGTATCTACTTGGGCTTGACTCTCCAAGTACATGTACACTTGTCATTCTCTCAGTTGTGCCAAAATTGAGAAAACCTCATCCTTCTTGTCTGTGTTTAGAATCTTCACCTCTCGATAAAAACCAGACGAATCAGAGAGAGATGGACATCGATCTCTCGCCTCAACTGTGCAAGAAGCTTTACGGTAATAATGGGGGTTCCTACTACGCCTGGTCACCCTCTGAGCTCCCCATGCTTCAGAGGGGTAACATCGGTGCCGCCAAAATCGCCCTCGAAAAAAACGGCTTTGCTCTTCCAAGCTATTCCGACTCGTCCAAAATAGCCTACGTTCTCCAAGGTAACCTCTTACTTGAATATTTTCTCTAGAAATTGGTTCAATGCTTCTCTCTAGCTTTTACATCAGCTCCGTGTCTCTGGTACAATTTTATTATTATGGACCGTGCGGACGGAAACGTCGCCCCACTGACGCGAGAGCCTATCTCAATTTTCACTAGAGCCCTATGCTTCATATAACTCTATGCTTTCCGCGGCTCATGTCGAAATCGAAATCGAGATACACCCTCAAGCCAGAGGAGCGACTGAGAGACAGGGTGCAAAATGAAGCATTTCGAGATAACAGTACCTATACTGCCCCGCGGAAAAAATTAAATTGCTCATCTAACAACTCAATTGCTAAAAAAAGTGATTGCAAAGCTTCAATGTAGATTTTACGACCAAAAAATGCTACTCTAACCACCCCTGTGGTTAAAGTAGCCTACAATATAGTGGTTAAAGTAGCATATTTTGTTGTGAAATCTCGTACGTTGAAAGATTGCAGTCACTTTTTTTTAGCAATTGAATTGTTAAATCAGCAATTTAATTTTTTCCGTGCGTGCTAAGGGAGAACGCCGTATGAACATTCTCGAGTTGCCAAATTTTCCTTGATAAAACGTGTATTTCTGACGCAATACAAGCATATTTTTCCTTGAAATCTTGTTTCTTCGTATTCCTTGTTTGTTTCTGATAGAACGCTTTACAAACTACTGAACCTCGGCGTATTATTGCGAATATTATGTGCCTTCTACCTAAAATGCTTCTCTCTTAACAACTTCATGAATTTTGGCAAGACCGGGTCGGTCACCCATGCCAAAATGTTGGGGCATACCAATGTATCAATTCCCCCCTCCCCTTTTTTTGTACGTGCCGGCCGGCCCATTCCTTTTTTTTTTCTTCGAATTTTTTTTTTTAATTATAAGACGGTTTTTTGTTTTTTATCTCTTTAAAGAAAAAACATTCATTACAGTTCTCATAAGGACTGCTTTGACATCTAAACAAGGACATATACTACGGGTCAAGTAATGATCAGTGTCTCCTCAGGGATGAGTCGGAAGGTCTCGAAAAAGTTTTTGATCAGAGATGGGCATATTTCAGAGAAGTTGGGCCGATTTGATATCATACTCCTTTAAAGCGATGGATCAAAACGTGTTCAGGTCATCATACCTTATAGGTATTTAATTTATTTATTTTTTTTTTTTGAATAAAACGTTGGGGTGTATAGTATATTGCATGGGCATGGAGGAGAAAATTGGGCCGTTTTGATATCATTTCCTTTTAAATGATTAATCCAAACGGTACTGCCATCGTATTTTTTGGGTTCCTGATTTTTTTTTTTTTTTTTTTTTGGTAATTAGTGGCATTTTTTGGATTGGGCCGAAATTTTGTAAAAAAAAATCATATTTTTGTTTTTTTAAAATAAGGGTTTCCTACAAAATCTGCTGTGTAATTTAAACGAAATATGAACTATAATTTCAACGCTAAAAAAGCAAATATCGTCTAATTTGCAAAATAAAAAGGAAAAGAAAGCAAAAAAATTACGCAAAGTAACGGATAAGTAACGCATCAATAACTATACTGATTCGGATAGGTTCTTTTAATCTTCCAAAGGACTCCTTTCACATGGACGCGTTCCAATATGACCGCTCAGAATTCGAGCGTGCCGACACACTCCCGAAACGGTACGAGTTGTTTTTCTATTTTTATGTTAGCGCAACCGCAAAATGGTGCCCCTGTGCCGCAAACTGGTCTCTCGCTCTTGGTTTTCGTGTACACGTCGACTGCGCACACTTTCTGGCCACCAATCTCGGCACATCTTCCGTTCATTACGCGAGGGCAGGCGTCACTCCTATTTTCGGGTTTGAGTCTGTCCAAGTATCCAGTTACCCTCTTGCAGTACCCGCTTGCGTCTTGCATACCCCTTGTACAGCAGTCATTACTCAGTATGGACTTGATCATTTGGCTCCAGGAGGATGCTTCTATATTGGTCACCTGGTCACGGAGACAAAACGATTTTTCAAACTTCCTGGGTCAGTTGCGCTGGTCACAAAATCGTGTTTTGATGCTTGATTCGTTTATATTTGCTAAAAATAATGAGATCCATGTTAACAGCAACCTTCTACGTTCAATATTAGCCGAGATATTGCCCTTTGAAAAGTCGGGTTTTTGACGTCATCCATTACCGCGATATAGTGACAGTGACACCCTTGGTTTCCTCCACCTTATACTTTCATCCAAGTTTCACACTGAGTGACCAGTGCAAATACATATGCTACACACTGGCTGATGAAAGCAAGGTGAAAGAAAGCATGGGTGTCACTATCGCGGTGGATGACGTCAAAACCCCGACTTTTCAAAGGGCGATACCTCGGTCAATATTGAGCGTAGAGAGTTGCTGTTGGGACAAATCTGATTATTTTTAGCTAATCTACAAGAATCAAGCATGAAAACACGATTTTGTGACCAGCGCAACTGACCCACTTCCGTGCTTCAGTGGACCTCCAGACAAGGTATGAATTAAAGCACAACGCTGTACGTGATTTCTCCTCCAAATTCCACGTAGAAAACGGATCGCACAACGGGGAGTCTGAAAGTCAACTCCTGGACAAGATGTCAGTGTTTTCTATTAACATTTGTTAAAGGTAAAAACACAAAAGACGTCATTTGTATAATCGAACCCCCACATGGTCTATGTTTAAAAGACTTGCCAATATCTCGTTTAGGAGTTGATTTCAAAACTCCCCGTTGGGTGAATTGTTTCCCATGTAAGATTTTGAAGAGAAAACATATCGACGGTGAAACTACCAAACCACGTATCTCGGTTTGCGACGTCGCAGACTTCCTGTCATACTTTATTTTTTAAATGAAAAACTACTTAATATCCAGTCTTGAAAATTTCTGTGATTTTTCCTCTTTGTGCGGAGAAAATTCCGTGAAAATTTCAAGGAATGATATTGATTTGGTCTACTTCAAAAAAATAAAATGCGAGTGTAGATTTTTAAACACCGCAAACGAGATACGTGGTTTGGTAGTTTCACCGTCGATATGTGACGTTTTCCTCTCCTTCAGACCTTGCCTGGTGACCCATTGTGTAAAATTTACTTCTGTAAATCAACGCTCCACTATTCAACCTTATTGGTCAATACTTGTCGAAAAGACCGCAAAATATTTTTTGAGTTTCTGTTCGTGACATAATTTACCATACCGTCAGAGATGTAACGTGAAATTTCATGAGGCTCGAATAAATTTCACAAAAGTTGAAATTTATTAATTTTTTTAGAATCATTGATTAAACCTTTGGAGGTCTGAAAGCGTTTCAGATGGTCTTTCTGTTGATGTTGCGGTATTATGCTACTCTACTGAAAGTGCCAGACACAAAGAGGGGGCAAAAAGGGGAGTTTAGAAAGAAGAACCCCTAAACTAAACGAAAACAATTGCAACACGCGAATGTTTTAGGCTTGGGGTAAAAAATTTCCAAATTTAGAATCACTGTTTCCAGGCGTTTCTTAGAGTCCTGAATGTATCCCCAAAAGTTTCAATAAATTTCATAAAATTTTGTGAAATTCACTCGAATAAATTTCATGAAATTTTCCATCTCTACATATCGTGTGTATTTTATACCCTCAGAAAGGTTCTTTCACCAAAGCATTTTTGGTGGTTGGTTGGAATAGAAAATGTTTTTAGGCAATTTAAATCAGTTTCCAAAAAGAATATTCAATTCAAAAGTGTAAAAATGTTATTCGGGCCCTTTAATGATGCAATGTAAACGTTCTTAAGCCTTGGAGTTGGGCACTTTCCGAAAATAAACGAATTCGCGCATATTCTTTGAACTACACTTTGAAATTCGGAACTAAAATTTCTGGCTCATCGATGAAAAAATATATGTGCATGGGGAAACTAATGGTACATACGTTGTTTCCAAACTGAGACGGATATTGAAGTTCCTAACTGCAAAATATAATTCATTTTAATGTTAAATGGAAGTAAGGAGGAAACAAATCGAAAAAAAGAGGCTTAATTGGACCACGTTAAGCAGGAAGGGGCTAAGTCACATCAGCTATTGCCGAATTTAAGAGGGCAATTTAATGTTTTACATGGAAACGGTTGTACGGATTTGTGTGCAAAGTTTAGTGAATTTTCTGCATAGTGCGAAGCAAATTCCTCAAAATGTTTCAAGAAATCCGCACAAGCGTTCTCTTGTAAAAATCAAATTGCCCAGTTAATTTTGACAATAGCCGATGTGGCTTGGTTTCTTTCTGCTAGACGCGGTCCAGTTGCGTGACCCTAAAAATCATACCCCGAAATAACGAATTTTCATTTATTTCCCGATTCGGGCAATTTTTGCAGGCCGCAGATTCTTCTTTGCCCAGAGAGCAGAGATGAAGATAGAACCACCTCATGTAAGCTTCGTGAAAATTGTCAATGAAATTTTATACTGCTGTACTCACGTCCTTGTAATAGGGTACCGGTGGCCCAGATGCAGGTTTTCTCTTTGCCGCAGCAGCCTTTTCCTTTTCTTCTTCCTTTTGTTTCTTATTCTGTCTATATTGTGCGAACCAGTTTAGTTTCTTCTCAGACGTAACAGATGAGGGAGGACTTGACGCCATCACTGGACTCCGAGAAGAGGTTGCTTTGGGACTTGGAGGGATGGGCTGGATTTCCGAGTCCCTCCCTTGCATTCCCTCTCCACCCGGTATCATAACCCATACCACCGCCGTCAAAGCCAATAAAGATACGATCAGATTCATCATAGCTGTATAGAACATTTAATGATTCAATCCATTACTTAGAACAAAGAGACATTCAAGCAATTCGGGTTGCATAACTTTAAAAAAAATCCCAACTCAATTGGCCTTAATCCCTGAAAATTTGAAAGCCTGAAGCAACCTTAACCCGATGCTCATTCAGGGTTGCAAAATCCTCAAATGGATTAAAAACTTCAAATAACTTTTTAAATTATTCAATTAAAAATGTCCCAACCGTATTCAGAATTCCTAAAAATCACGAATCATGACGTCAAGAAAGTTTCCCGAGATTCCTTTTTCGGTATTTGAAATCGATCTTTCGTACCTTTTGCCTGAAACAACTATCTAGTAAAAAGGGCTTTTCGGGTGGGAAATACATTTCTCCATCAATCTCTGACTTCAAGTAGAAATATGAAGGATAGTAAAACTTGATTGAATTGATACAGGGTTTAAAACATGTACGTTATCTAGATCCCAGAGTGTGAAGTGAACCTCTAGATTATCTTGTTATTTTGTTTTTTCATCAGCAACGAAGCCTTCAAAAAGTAAAATTATTCAGTTCCGTTGTTCCGACTGATCCGAAACACAGTGAAAAATTTTCGTGTTTCATGTCACTCCGTGTTACTTTTTTTTTGTGTCAGGACAACCTAAATGACGTGGTTGCTCAACACACTTTTGTGTTAAATCGACCCAAAACTAATTTTTAACGAGGTCAACCAAAAGCTTGCGTTATTCCGTGTTTTACTTCCCCTATTGACACAAGATTTTGGTTAATTTTCCTTACTGTGCACGAGCACCGTTCGATGTACTACCAAAATACTTGTGACACGAAATATGAGGTTTTCTTTTGGCTATATTTCTCCCAGAGAGCTCCCGCATTTTTATGAGAAATACGATGGCTTCACTGTTTTTGTCCAAATCTTAGAGAAATCCCAGTGGCGAACAATCCTTTTACACCATAATACTACACGAAGAGTAAGCTTTGAAGATTAAAATGCCTTCAAATATCTGTATAGGCAACTTCACGACTCACGTGTTCGAATAGTTGCTCCACCGGGATCAGCCAAGGGGAATACACTGTACATCTCTCTGGATCCACGACTAAGGGATAAAGAAGATACATCCCTCTGTCCCCAAGCCCTGTAGCCTACCATGTATCTTCCGTGTATTCCCGTGTATTTCCGTTACTCAGAAGGGGTCGAAGAGAGTCTCGTCTATTGCCTTTCGAAAATACCCGTGAAACAAAATGGGTCATTCCGGGAAACGGTGAACCTTAGCGGAGTATATAGTCTATATTTATTTTCTCTGGTAAAAATACTGATAACAGTTTTGACAAATTTTACATCATTGCGCCGCCCTGAAAATAATCCTTTCAAAATGTATCGAGTAAATTGAATCAAATTTCAAAGAGGCATTCTCAAATAAGTTGAAATTTGAGTCTCCTGTCCCACCCGTTGAAAAAATTGGTTTCAACTTCAGCGTATCGCCCTAGCTCAGACAATTTGATGTTACCTTTTCATACTGGGCAAAAGTTTTGTTGAAATATTTATTTTTAAACTTGACAATAATAACATTTCTTATACTTTCTAAAAACTTGATCGAAACTTCTAAAACCGCACAAGTCCCACCTGATAAAGAAGTCTGCCCTATACCCGTCACGTAAGGCTTTTGCCTCTAAAATGATTAGCTTTGCACCAAATTAAAAAAGAAAAAAATATGGGGATATGATACCCCGTAAAATTGAATTCAATGTACTAAAATTTCAGATTTTGATCTCGGCTAGAAGAGGAGCGGTGGGAGACGTGAATGATCGGTTGTCGATACTTCCCTGTTTGAAGCTATGGTAAAAAATCGATTATTAAGGTGTTTCGTTGCGAACACTCTATTCATCGATCCTTTATTCCATAGGTTTAAATGGCAGATCAATCGATATATCGCAAAGCACGCTACGCCACTGAAGAGGAGACTTTTCAACATATTTCCTACACAAAAGGAAGGGTACTTTTCACAACCCATCCGTTTCTGCACTTTTATACGAATATTCACCAATCATCAAAATTAGTTAATATTGAAAAATGACTGATCAATATAATAGTTCTAAATGAGCTTGTTCCATTGGATTTACTGTTTTGTAGATCTATTAAAAATAATTGAAAAATCCACTTCAATAGCGTGCGAATGTCCCACCTGTTAACCTGAAATGATACCGGTACAAGCGAATGCAGAATATTCTCGTGTCATTTTCTCATTGGTTATATTTAATATCCGTCTTTGAGGGATCTGTTTGACAAATTTTTTGGAATCTACGATCCAAAAAAACATGAGAATCGACACCTCTCTCTACGTTTTGTGACGATTCACCAACATTTCAATTTCAGCTTCCATTTTGGCCGCCATCTTGTTTTTGGGGCCTTGACATCAAAATCGGAGAGTCCACCAAAGATTTTCTCATACTAGGGACCAAAATGAAGAGAGTAAACTTCCATCACAAACGTGCAGACGGGACGTAATTTTCGAGCACATGCTCCCCAGACTATGCAATAAGTCGCCTTTTCCCGTCATTTTTTAGCATTTCCGACCGGTTTTCATTTCCGTTTAGATCCGTGCCCCATCGATGCACGTTAGTAAGTGTTTATTACTCGAAAGTATATACCTTAAGGTTGATATAGAGAGAGAAAATTGGAAATTGCAGTTATAATCCATGGAATGCATCGGTTACAGTGTGAAAAATCGTCTTTTTGCGTCAACTTCAAGGATTTTCGGTCGGTTTCCGGTTTCCGTCAGGTCGTTAATCGATCGGTGAATGTATGGGAAGCGTTGATAGTCTGATTTTATACATCTAAGAGGGTAAACTGGGGGAAAATATCGATAATTAAAGCGTTCATTATCGAAATATTTGGATTACCATGTAAAAAATCGTCTTTTTTTACCAATTTTTGACCTTTTTTGGCCTATTTGAATGTTTTTAGACCCTTAACCGTCCGATAGCAATTGAAAAAAGTATATCAACCAAAAGTATATATCTTCAGCTTGAAGTATAAAAAAGAAAAATCGAAAATTGGAGAGACTGTTTTAGATAGGTAATCTAGTTTGAACATTGAATGGCGAAAAAACAGTAAATTTTTAAAAAAAAACCTAAATTACGACCATTTAAATAATTTTCAGCTCAATTTCGATTGCATATTCAGAACCTACATGAAAAATTGGTGTAGAAACACTCTTTCAAAGTATGATGGATTGATACAGAGTCTCGCTGTGGAGAGTCAAAGAGAGGGAAGTCGAGAAAATGAGAATCGCTAAAACGGGCTTTTTTGAATATCGCTAAAATTCACCCCATCTTTGGGGGTCGATATCTCGCGAACGGGGCGTCGGATGGGAAAACCATTAAAATCGGTCTCTTAAAATGATGTTAAGACCTTGTAAATCAATTTTCAGTCAAAGCGGAGGGGGTCGGGTTCCGAGCCTGCAGCTACACTTGTGTGGTCTTTGTGTGCTTTGAGAGCATTGCAGCGGCACAACACAAAACAACGGAAGTTAATCATATGCATGCTATAAGTAGTAAAATAATAAGTGGAAAAATATTGTAAAACAATATGAGGTATACAGTGACGATTAAAAAGAAATGTACTTACGCGGTTGGGTTCGAAAAATCTGAAATTTTTCGAGGAAGAGTGGTTTAACAGCGCATCAGATCAGAACTGACTTAGAGCACACATCTAGCTTTATATATAGATACGCCGGGATATGTGTAAGCGGAAAGAAATCCTCGAGCCTCGTCATACGCTATTCGAGTTTTTTAGGGAAAGTTCGGGGTAACGGAATGGTATAAACTAAAGCGATAAAAAGCACGTTGTCCTTCAGCTTTAAAAAAAAGCTTATATTTTTGGAAAAAAATGTAAAGGCTCGCAATTACTCGAACTCTACTGAGACCGATATGTGCCTCTAATGGATTTTTTTGCGCCTTGTTTTTCTGCCGGTCACAATGTTGGGGAGAAATGCTTTGAAAACGTTTAAATTCTGTTAAAAGTGCACTTCATGGGTTAAAATTGTTTGAGAAGGGCAATTAAGCCATCATAGAACGAGCAGTAAGTTTATTTTTAAATTTCGACGTTCAGCCTTGCTAATGTAGCTAGAAAAGATACATTTCAGAATTAACTTTTAAACTATTAAGTGCATAAATATTAAGAAAGAACTGTTCGACAGTCAGCATTAATCAGTATAATTCGAACACATTGAAATCTATATAAATACAACTGTAAGGGTCGAAACCTTATGATCCTCAATTGGACATATTTCTATCAAACTGAACTATGCGCAGGTGGAAACGATGGGGGTGTGCCCGCCCTGGTAAAAATTGGCGATACGAGCTGCGTTTCAAAATACCATAGGAGTTCTTATAGCCGATTGAAGAAGGCGATAGAAAATCATATAGCTGGCTGTAGAAAGTGGAAAAAATCATACGGCCGGGTTACACAAAGCGATAAAAAATTATACAGCCGGGCTATAGTTCCTATCGCCGGGCTTCACACTTTATCGCCTGGCTGTTGCTTTTTCGCCATCGGCTATAAAAGGCTATAAGAAATTGTGTAGAAATTCGTGTGCTTTGTAAATCCTTAAGTTTATACGGAATCACCTTAATATTTACAAAACGCACATCATATTTTCCTTTCCTACATATTTTTTTTTCATCAATTAAAATAAGAATAATCATACAGGATGTGCTAACATTTCAAAGTCATGAGTTGAAAAACGCTGACTCCACGAGATTAAATATTAGAGCCTAACACAAAGCGGAGCAGCGGCGCACTGGCGCCTACAAACCTAACAGGGATACTTCACGCATTGCGCAATGCGTGAAGTATCCCTGTTAGGTTTGCAGGCGCCAATGCGCGTTCACCGTTCAGCGCTGGCTGCCCGCCCGCCGCGCCGCAGCGTACCGCGGCGCTTGAAGCAACTATTTCACACCAGAGGTATTGCACAGTATCATACGAAATTGAAGGCGCTCCAACATATTAGGAATGTCAGGCATCCTTCAAAAGTACGGAGCTTTCCTCGCAAAATAAATCAAGATACTACGGCCAAAAAAGAGAGCGGTAGTCCAAAAACTCACTAAGTCCTAGCATCCGTAATTAGTAACATTTAGCATACACTTTATCGCCAGGCTGTTGCTTAATCGCTATCGGCTCTAGCGTGATTATAGCATAAGAAATTGTGTTGCCGGCTATAGAAGCTATTGGAAATCTTATTGCCGGCTGTAGGTCTATAGTATTTTGGAACACAGATTCTACTGCAAATTTTTACCAGGGCATTTATGCTCGGTCCATGAGAATGAATGGGAAACATAAAGCGCCAGTGATGAATCTGCCGCTCCAAATGCCCTTCGTCGACTTTAACTCATGAGCCCTGTCCACAACGCTCTTGACACATGCCCACGGCTCATGAGTTTTGCATTCAGTTGGCACACAGTTCCGTTTGCGGGATTTTACATTCTGTCAAACGGAACTATGTGCACACTCCATGAGCCGTGGGCATGTGTCAAGAGCGTTGTGGACAGGGCTCATGAGTTAAAGCGGAAGCCCGGCAACTGGAGCGGCAGATTCGTCACTGGCGCTTTACGTTTCCCATTCATTCTTATGGCCCGAGCACTAACGGGCACACCCCATCGTTTCCACCTGCACATAGTTCTCTTTGATAGAAATACGTCCAATTCTGAGGAGCCGCCGGGTCCATCTTCTTAATTTTTGTCGCAAACGAAAGCTTTTGATGTCCAGGTGATACAAAAAATGCGAATTTTTCAATATTCGCTCCTGATAGTTTTCCCGGAGCCCAGAGCAAGTGATCGGGGGTCCAGGGGATGGAGCCCCCTGGCTAGGCGCGTAGACAGGAGCTGAAGCAGCTATCGTAATATGGGGTGAACGGGGACAGTTTTTTATACAAATGCACGTCTCGGTGGCCTACTGATTTCGAGAATTTCGTTTTTTTTTACAGGAAGTTGTGATCTTTCATGTCCTTACTTTCCCCCAAAATCGTGATGATACAAAAATTTTAACTATTTTAAATGTTTTTTTTTTTTTTTTTTTTTTTTTTTTTTTTTTTTAACCTACGGTCCCTATTCATCCTCCACTGGGGTGAATAGGGACACCGGCAGATTTCAATGTAAATAAGGCGTTGTCCCCATTCTGCTAACTGGAGATTGGATGGAGACACTACCTGAGTTTTAAAAAAAAGGTAAAATTCGAATCTGAAATGGAAAAACATGTCTTTAATTATCAAAAATTAAATAACAAGAAGCAAACAGATGGCAATTGTCCTATACGCCCTGACCATTGTGAGATCTGAAAGATGAATTCCTCAATTAAACCAGGGCAGTACTCAAAAGTTTCAGAATATGAAGTAAGTCCAATCCAAAGTATGTGATAAGAGGCGGAAAATGTCAGAGAAAGCCCCTCCCCTGTGCCTGAATCTATGATACTCGGACTCCCAACCGCTCGTTTTTTGGAGAAAACTATTTTTTAAACCACCTAAATATCGAGCAAATTTCATCATTTTTGGTGATGAGCAAGGTAACTAATGATGTCGAAATGTTATAACATAAAAAAAAACTTTTCCTAAATTCGTGATCCTCTTGCATGGGACGTTATCACGCTTGTTCTGCAGCTTTTTTTCAAGGTCTGGTTTTGAGGTTGTGTTGACATTTTATGCTTTCTTTAAACAACACCGGCTACACCGGTCACTTAAAGAGGATGCCAAACTATGCATTTTCGAAAACCCGAGTTCTGTAGGTGTCAAACTTACCGAGTTATAGCTAAAAAACGGAAATAAATCAAAATTGTCCCTATTCACCCGCCTGTCCCCATTCACCCCATATTACGGTAGTGATTTCATAAAATCGTCAGTAATTACAGACTTTTAAATGTTTAATTACTATCACAACTAATGCATTCAAAATAAAATATCTAGGGGTACAACACAGATGTCTTATATTTTTTACTAACACTTTATAAGGGCGCGATATCAATCGAAAATAAGGAAGGAGGACTTCTCTTTGCGCAAAACGTGCTGATTTGGTAATTTTTGTGATAGAAATCTCACGGGAAACTTTCAGTGGTGTCACTTTCTATTCATCCGAACATGTGAATAGGATCTAAGAGTTCTCCTCAAACAATGTCCTCAAGTTCTCAATGGTCCTCAATAGTCCGCCTCAAGAGAGGGACGACTTAAACTTGCTCCATGCATCTTGCATGGAGCATCTCTCCTTGCATCTCGTACAATCTGCTCGGCTAGGTGAACGTACGTTTCAAGACTCTCGCACGTAAACGGGTGTTTAATGGCAGATGGATTGAAAAAAAAAAACAACAACAACAACAATTTTACCTAGAAAAGTAATCCTGAGAAAGGAAAAAAACGATTTTACCCAACTGTAAAATTGTTGGGATTGGTAAGATTGGAATTTCGACGGGCACAAAGAGCCTCCCAAAAAAAGGGCCTTTTTTGGCCCCTTTTGTGAAACTCGGGGATTTCATTCAAATGTGGCCTAAACGAAACCTTATGATGACCCAAGACTCCAGTAAAAATTTTAGCTTGAGTATACGTCTGGTTTCGGAGATACAACGTTGCAAAGTTTGCATATTTAAGCTTTAAAAATCTTCATATTTTCAAATATTATCTTCCTAAAACCAAATGAGAGTGAACTTTACAATACTGAAACAAAGCGTAAATGAAGCATAATGATAAAGCAAGCAAGTCTCCAGTAAAAGTTTCAGCTTATGTATGACCCCTGTTTAGGTAGTGCAAGGTTGCAAAGTTTACCTTTCTGACCTTTAAAAATACTCATATTTTTGAGTTTCTTATTTAAAAACCAATTTTAGTGAATGTCCAATTGTATTTTGTGGCACGAAATTAACCCCTAGTGGTACTCGTGGATGCATAGTGCATTGATGTAAGGCTACAATAATTTCAAGTAACACAGCGTTGCAAAGTTTACATCTTATACCTCTGAACACGTCTTTTCTATTGTTTTTTTATTGAAAAAAAATTCGATCAAACATGTCGCGGTATTTTAAAGCAAAATGTTAGGACTCTAGTTAGAACTAGATGACAATTGGTATAAAAAATTACACTGTTGCCTATTTTTTTGTTTTCCTTCAACATTTATACATAAAATAATTTTAAAATTAGGATACTTCCAAAAATAATAATCTGATTTCAAAATCAAATTCAAGAGACTTTGTCATGCTTAATGGAATACTCATCATCAGCGTTTCTTTCAAAATCCAACAAAAAGACATTGTCCACAGATTTGCAGGCAGAACTTGTACCGATGCGTGATAAATTCATGCAAAAAAAAAAATAAATATAAAAAATGAAAAAAGAAAATGAAGAAAAAACTAAAAAAAAATTATAATTGTTATTTTAAAAATGTAAAAACATTAAACATGTAAAAAAAATAAAATAAAAATTAAAAAAGTAAAGCAAAGTTATAAAAAACAAAAATCAAATATCAATTCTTAGAGGATTCCTTATTTTAATTTCTCATTTATTTATCGTTTTAAAAGAAGTATTAATAAAAATCATAGTATTTTTGCCAATACCAATTGTCACTCGGAACTGACATCAACCCTCGATATTTTGCCTTGATATCAGGTATTACATTCATAGACGTCATCTTTAACTACCATAAATAATAATTTCAAGAGTTTAACGTTGTTAGCTTGGCAACGCTGTACCACCACCAATCAAAGTATCCCTGTTTATTCGAACATACATCTACAAATGACACGTGGGTAGATTTTACTCCTCAAATTCGAAAACAAGATCCACGAAAATTGCTCTTTAAACAGGGAACTTCAAAATATAAACATTTTTAAAGCTCAAATAAATAAACTTTGCAACGCTGTATCATTGAATCTGTGCTTACGCTCGCGGTAAGGCCTATATGGAAGACGTATTTTATTATAAAATTACACCTAAACCCCATAAACATAATGAGAAACAACTTAATCAGCCAAAATACACATAATAAAAGAACAACTTAATTTGGGGAAAAGGCTGCAAATAAAGAAAAAGGAATAAACAAAACCCGGAACGTTTCAAAATAATAACAATTTCATTATCAACCGGAAAATAAATTAAAAACAAAAACGAGCCGTCGCTCCGCTGTAATTGCGAGACCGAGACTCAATAAGTTCATAAGCTCATAAGTTCGGTTGTGTTTCCCATAAACATATATTTTGGTGATCAGTAAGTTCGTCTTTTTATAAAACAACTAACCAACCTGAGCATTTATTATAGGTCTTTGGTGTCAACTTTGCAACGTTGTATCAAGAGAATTAGCAGTATTATTGTATCAATAGATGTATGCATTCAATAATAAGACTAAATGTTGGTTAAATGTCACAAAATATCATAAAATGTCCGATGGAGGTGTTTTCGAAAATAAGATACTTGAAAATATGCGAATTTTTAAAGCCTAAATATGGAAACTTTGCAACGCTGTATCTCGGAAATTAGACGTATACTCAAGCTAAAATTTTTACTGGAGGCTTGTCTCACCATAAGGTTTCATTTCAGCCACATACGAATGAAATCCCCGAGTTTCAAAAAAGGGGCCACTTTTTGGGAGGCTCTTTGCGCTTCGCTGCGTGCATAACTATTGCGACGCAATTTTTGAGGAAAATTTCGAATTTTAGCATATTTTTTTTAACTCTTCTTGCGTCAGAAAATTACAGAGAGACATTTAACACCTGTCTAAAAGCATTGCATTAGTGTTCAGGATTTTTACCTGCTTATCTGAGTTTTTGACAGCTTTGCGTTTTGCTACTTGATCTAGTCCTCTAACATGTTAACAGGTTGTGCGGCTGTGTTGCCGTCTGACTTTCTAAAACTCGGAATTTACGTTGAATGAGAGAGCTGAGGCGCTCTTGCTAGAGTACCGCTGTAGGAACCAATTATCTTGGTATTAATCCTTTTAGTGCCAAAAACCTTGGCATGGAACTTTCTAATCGGTCAACGAGTATTAGAGACTTATACGACATACGTGGAGCTATTCAAGGTGGGTTGGAAAACAACTTTCCTATGTTGTTTTTACCTAACCACTGTTATCAAAAGCAAAAACTAGCTTTTAATTTGATAAAACTCACGAGTATATAGTCTAGTCCTCTACGCTTTCCACTGACATACATTCCCGGGCACTCTAAGGGATAAAAATCAAAATATGCAATTTTTTTTTTTTACAAATTGGGTGATCTGGGTAAAACGTTTAACTTTAGTAAGGATTAATGACAATGTTTTTCTCCTGAAACAGCTCCTATCACCACATTCCGGGAGTGCCTCTCGTGAAAACTACGAGTTCCGGCCTCAAGATCAATTTGACGGGTTTGACGTATATTTTGACGCATTTTGAAGCGTCTAGCGTCTAGCATTGTGGTATCGCTGTTGAAGGCGCGATGTTGTATTGCTTCACCTATGAGCTGCACCAACGACGGCACCAAAGCGACAACACCGCGGTAGTTACGTGCGAAAACTGTGGCTGAATAATTTAAAATCGACAAAGTGAAAATTCTCAAAATTCAAAAAAATTTAATGGAAATGAAATCACCACAGTTCGTCGAAATCGATAAATTTTTAGCTTTTAATTGTTTTCTTTCTACCTTTTCGTGCATGTATAATTAATTATGGGCCCTTGTAGGATCCCACGAAAGGTCTAAAACAAGCAAACCAATCATACGGCGGCACAAATGACAATACGCATAATACCCGGGAATGTGTGTCAGGAATAGCGTAGAGGGGTGCTTTCAAATAACAGTTAATTTTTCAGACATAGTATTTTTTTTTTTTTTTGTGAATGTCAAAAATTAAGAATCGTTGAAAATCTTGAATGTGATACTTTTTGTGACCCTTAGGACTCATATAATTAGGTTCAAGTAGTGGTGTCGAAGAATATTCCCCCAAAATTTATTTTTTCAGTTAAATAAAAGTGTGCTGCACCGATTCCCGTCATTACCGTAACCTCAATATTTTACGTAGATTTTTCTCTGTCCGGATACGTAAAATCCGTAAATCCGTGGGTCCTTAGGTAACTTTTTGGTTTTTCATCAATAAATATGTATATTTCAATCTATTGTAAAAAAAAAAATCTCAAATGTAAAAAAAATAGTTATTTTGAACAATTAAGCTAAACTTACGGGAAAATTAACCAAACAATCGCTTTTATTTTGCTCTTACATCCCTAAAAAAGAAAAGTCTCGGCCTATGATTGTTTTTCAGTCAAGAATGCATCATGAATTATCCGTGTTACAAAATTTTAACAATTTCCAGGTCATTTTAAGTAATTAAACAAGGAAAAATAGTAGGTTACGGTAATGACGAGAAGGTTACGGTAATTATGCAAAGGTTACGGTGATGACCAACTGAGTGCTTACTTAATGATGAAATAAATTGTCAAATGTATCAATAAGTGAAATATGTTTTACTACTAAGTAAATTCCTGTTAAAAATTAAGAACTGGCTATCTAAAGATCAAAATGCAAGCAGTAGGTAAACAAGTTATTTAAAAAGTTTTTAAATGGGCATTTAAGCCTAACTTAAACGCAAGCTTAAGGTGAAATATTCTCTAGGTTATACTGAAACTACAATTTGATTGACGGATTAGTTTTTTTTAAAAAAAAGTGATTTTATTCAAGGTTGAATTTCCAAATTCCGGAAAGTAATAGGTTACGGTAATGACATTTCAGGCATTCTAAGTAAAAAAAAATAAATAAATAATTCGGATATTAGGAAAAATGAAATCAGGAACAGGTCGGGCGTAAAATTTTGAAAAAAGAAGTAAAATTAAAAAAAATAATAACTTTCAAGGGGAAAAAATGCAAGTAACAAGGAAAATGAACTACTATTTGAAAGCACCCAGAGGACTAGAACTTAGTACTCGTGGGTTTAATCACATTTAACGCAGGTTTTTGTTTTTACTGACGCTGGTATTGGTAGAGACAGCATAAAAAGTTGTTTTGGAATCCGCTTTGAAGCTCCATGTATATGTTATGGGCAACGTCTAGGGCGCGGGCAATGTACGGGATCGCGAAGCAAAATCGACAACGCCCGGGCATCGTCCACTTTGACCAGGGGCGATCGGGCATCGTCGGAAAAAATCATGAAATTGAGGGAGCTGAGACAGTTTTTACGGGAAAAGCCCGGAAAAACAAAAAATAAAAGTTTTTCGCGGATTAAAAACGATTTTCTGAAGAAACTGATGGTTCAGGAACACCAGATAAGCTGCTTTCAGGAACCTCGGCTGTTCCATTATCACTTGTGGGTAGGCTGCTTTCAGGAACCTCGGCTGTTCCATTGTCACTTGTGGGTAGGCTGCTTTCAGGAACCTCGACTGTTCCATTGTCACTTGTGGGTAGACTGCCTTCAGGAACCTCATTTTGGCATGTTTCATCTTCATGTTCAGTGGCTTCGTCCATCAGTAATCGCTGTAAATCATCCTCCGATTTGATCTGGTCCAGCAACTCATTGGGTAAAGAGGTTGATTTTAATCCTACTCTTGCAGGGTAACCCAGTAGTGCTTCGTATGGTGACATTTTTATACCGGTATGAAAAACTCTATTTTTACTAAATTGAACACATGGAAGGTCTGAAATCCAATCATCTGATAAGAAATTCACGAAAACTCGAGCACGGGAACCCGTTGTCCGATCGTCCGTGGACAGCGTTGCCAGTGCCCGGCGTAGGACGCTCACTGCCCGGGCATTCTTGTCAACGGAGTTACAAGTTAGACGATGCCCAAGCCGGTCGGGCATCGTCGACGATGCCCGGGCAATGGCCGTCTATGCCCTTGTCCTAGACGTTGCCCATAACATAAACATTTAATACTCTCAGACCGATTAGAAAGTGCTAAGGTTTTCGGCAGCAGGAGGATTGATATCAAGATACTTAATTCCTACATCGGCACTCTAGTGAAAACACTCCAACTCTCTCATTCAATGTAAATTCTGAGTTTAGGAAAGAAATTCAGACGGTATCATCGCCGCACGACCTCTATTATCATGTCAGAAGACAAGATTGACGAGAATAGAGGATTCGGAAATCCCGAAGCAATCAGTCACGTAAGACATATTTGCTGTACAAGCTCTCGGTCGTGCCGTGCCGAGCTGTGAATTAACCGTGCGTTGCTGTACATTTCAACTGGAATTTTTCCTCGCTCTTTAGCGAAAAAAAATACAAATATGTATGTCGAGATGCTCGCTTAAATTTCGCCTGAAGTGACCATGTAACGTCTTTGCAGAATTTATAGTTCTTACGCCCACATTTTAAGACGGCAACTTCATTGTATATTTAAACAATCAAAGCATTACTAGAATGACAATGTCTTCATAAAATTCAGAGATAGTTCACTTCATAGGCACAATAGGAAAAACTGGAATTCAGTTACGGTGTACGAGAAACAAGGAAAGCGCCCTTAGTTAGTGCCGAATGCGACGAACACTATAGGTACAAGTTTCATTTCAATTATTGGATGCAACTATTCGGGCTTCATGGAAGTCCGTGTTGCATAGGCACGGATGTGAAGGCGTTTTGACTGTCCGGGCACTCACCGCTTTACCCGCGGCGCACAGTGGATCGAGTCAATGGTAGAGGTCGGACAAAAGTTGGAAACTCTAAACGCTCGTTTAAAGCTTTTCGAAGAAAAAGAAAGGAATGGCCCGGCCGGCCGCACATACAAGTGGTATGTAGATAATAGGGTGATTATCGTCTCTCTTGTATATACATGAACAAGTATCATCGTCAAAAGGAGGATCAGTCCTACTTGAAATCGTCATTGAAAGATAGACTGAAAGATGAACACATGAGTGAACAACTTAACCAAGGGTGTCTCTGCATCGGTGGATAATGCCATAAACCGAATTTTTCAAAGCACAATATCTCGGTCAATATTTAACGTAGGAAGTTGCTGTTTGGACGAATCTTATTATTTTAGCTAACTCTCTAGAATTATGCATTAAATCACGATTCTATGACCACCGCAACTGATCCATTCTGCTATACTAAGGAAGATCGCCGTATGAACATTCAAGAGTTGCAAATTTCTTCAAATAAAATATGTATTTTTGAAGGATGTTATGCATATTTTTCCGTAAAATTTTCGGATATGTTAGATCAAGTTGCAAACAAAATTATCTGAAAACCTCGTAAAAAAAATATTCAACATTTTTCCAATAAAATCGGTTTTTAGTAAAACAAATTTGGCAACGTCTACAGGCTCACTCGGCGTTTTTCCTTAGCACGGGAGCGTTATCCAGTGGATTCTGAGGTTGTTTCGTTGATGCAGGAAGTGGAGTTGCTGGAATCGTGGAACCTGAGTCCGCAGAGAAGGTGTTGGGGATCAAGACGGGTGATGCCCTGGCTGTGCCGTTCGGGGTCGTGACCTGGTGGTACAACAACGGGGACACCGAGCTGGTCATCCTATTCCTCGGCGACACCTCTAAAGCTCACAAGGCCGGCGAGTTCACCAACTTCCAGCTGACCGGCTCCAACGGGGTGTTCACGGGCTTCTCGAGCGAGTTCGTGGGCCGCGCCTGGGATCTGGAGGAGGGCGTCGTCAAGACCCTCGTCGGGAACCAATCCGGCCAAGGGATCGTCAAGCTCCAACCCAACGCCAGTCTCCCCGAACCCAACCCGGAGCATCGCAAAGGGATGGCCCTCAACTGTTTGGAGGCTCCCTTGGATGTTGACATAAAGGGTAAGTGATGATGATATTTAGATTTACGTACATATCAAGCCGCTACCTCAGCGCACAAGAGCGCTCTGCGACTCCAAAGCGCCATCGGAATCGATCCTCCCTAAAACCATCGGACAGAGTACACCGTCTGATCTCCCCCTCCACTCCCTCCTGCCAGCCTTTTACTGAACGTCCACGCCGCCTTCTTCCGGAAGGAACCCAATCGAGTACCTTTCCGGGCAACCTACCATCTGCCATTCTCCGCACGTGTCCGTACCAAACCAGCTGTCTGGTTTTGATATCGTGCACAATATCGTGATATTTGTAATTCATTTTGCAAAAAGGAACCAAGAGCATTCCAATGTTTCTGGGATTGTTCGACTTACCCTCCTTGCAATTAAAGCACTGAAACCTTGCAAAAAATTAAATTTGCGAAGGTAATTTTTCGTTGAATTCATATTGTATTGAATTCATGGTTTATTCGGAGTAAAGATAAAACTTGTTCAGATGATCAGTTTATACTCGCAAGTCAAAAAAAGTTGCACAATCTTAGCGACAGTGGAATGCGTGTGGTTCCTTTTTGCAAAATGCAATCTATTTCAAGTAGCAGGCTGCAATAAAGTGTATATTGTTGATATTGTATCGGAGTGTCGTGTAGGTTGCGTAATGACAAATTGAAGGGGCTCCCCTGATTGAAATTTGTTGCAATAAGATTGAAATGATTTGCAATTTTTTTTTCATCGCAAATTGCTGTACCTTTCTCACATATGCACCTCTTATAATTGGATTGCATTTTGCAAGAAGGAACCAAGAGTATTCCAATGTAGCTAAGATTGTGCAACATACATTTTTTGAAATAAAATTTCTGAAATCATGCAAAAAATTAAAATTACAATGGTAAATTTTGCCTTGAATTTATAGATTATTGGGACAAAAGATGGAACTTGTTTAGATGATCAGTTGATATTTGCAAGGTAAAAAAAATTGCACAATCTTAGCAACATTGGAATGCTCTTGGTTCCAGTTTGCAAAATGCAATCCAATTGATCGATCAAAATTGGTATACGTATATTAACCAAATTGTCTATTAATTTTATGCGATAAAATTGCAAAATATTTCAATATTTTTATTGCACTGTGGTACTTAGGAAGTAGCATAGCGACGGTGTAAGTCGGCAATCACATACCTACCTCGGTTTGCAACGTCGCAGACTTCCTGTCATACTTTATTTTTTAAACGGAAAACTATACTCAACGGCAAGTCTTTAAATCTGCCGTGATTTTTCTTCTCTGCGCGAAGGAAATTCGGTAAAAACTTCAAGGAATGATGTCAATTTGCTCTCCTCTAAAAAAATAACACAGAGGCGGAGATTTTCAGACACTGCAAACGAGTTATGTGATTGCTGACTTACACCGTCGATAGGTTGTAATGGATGTCTTACGGCGATCGAAGAATCGCGTTTTGATGGTTGAAGCGTGCGGGTTTTTTAAATGACACATGATGAATGATGCAGGTGGCGGAAGAGTGGTGGTGTTGAACACGAAGAATCTACCGTTGGTGGGCGAGGTCGGTCTGGGAGCTGACCTGGTCAGGTTGGACGGCAACGCAATGTGCTCCCCTGGGTTCTCGTGTGACTCGGCATTGCAGGTCACATACATCGTCAGGGGCAGCGGCCGTGTTCAGGTCGTTGGTGTCGACGGCAAGAGAGTCCTCGAGACAACAGTCAAAGCTGGCAATTTGTTCATCGTACCACGCTTCTTCGTCGTCTCCAAGATCGCTGACCCTGACGGAATGGATTGGTTCTCTATCATTTCTACTCCTAAGTAAGTCCATTCTCTTCACATGTTATAAATAATGTTGGTGCATTATGTAAAATTGACCGCGTTTAACAAAAAGGAACCAAGCCACATCAGCTATTGCCAACTTTAACTGGGCAATTTAATTTTTTACGAGAAAACGTTTATGCGGATCCCTTTGAAAATGTTAAGGAATTTGATTCGTACTATGGAGAAAATTCACTGAAATTTGCACGAAAATCCGCACAACTGTTTTCATGTAAAAAATTAAATTTGCCAATTTTTGGCAATAGCTGATGTGGCTTGGTTCCTTTCTGTTTAACGCGGTCCAAATATAAGACTGCCTTTATGCTGCCAACCGAGTGTTACTCGATTTCGGAAGAAAAGTTTAAAAACTAGGCCCGAATACGTCTCTCCTATCTTCGGCTGTGTTGCTCACATGACCCTGAAAGGCAACACTAAAAATAAAACGCAACATGAAGATAGAGCAAGGGAAATAGGAGACGTGTCGAAGACGGCGCAGAGATACAACTATTCGTACTTGATGGATGTCCGTGTTGCGTCTGGAAAATTGAAGGCGCGATGGCGCGAGACGTGAACTCATAAAGCTCCACAATATGCTGTCAATGAGGTGTCGCTTGAAATCAGTAGAGTGGTTAATAATTAATGAGACCCGAGTACGCCTCTCTAATCTTCGACTGTCTTGACACTCGATTTTTTCTCCTTCTTAAACTTGATGTCCGATTATGTTTAGGATGTCTTTGCAGACCTGTAACTAAAGCTCGCATGTGAAAATATTTTGATAGCGGAACTACGGAAACACATCTCTCAGTTCCAATGTTCCGAAATGTTCTTTTAAACTTTAGTTTGACCTAAAACCTTTGCTCTAATCCTCCAAAAAAACTAACCCTGAGATACGAGATACGATACGTTTCACAAAATTTTTGAGAATGATTCTCAAAATCTTAGCTCAAGAAAGATTATGTGAAGTTGTAGGAATTAAAAGTGGTCGCCATTTAAACATAATGAGGTACCATCTTTACAACTTTTCAAACTGAGATACTACATTTTTCCCCTCCTTGTAGTTTCACCACGTACTTACTTCGAAGATGAGCCGTCCATCGGTAAAGCAAGACACTCTCTAAAATTTTTTGACCGTTCTTCCCTTATCTGACCCTGCTAGGTCCCTCAGTAAAAAAATCGAAATTTCATCTTACTACCTTTCCGTTCTCAATCTAACAATACACGTTTTCAGCCTTATCGTCGTTCGTCAGACGAAGGATCGTAAAGTCATTCAAAAGTTGCCAGATTGACCGCAATAAATATAACTTTTTAAAGAGGTTAAGCTGCGGGCGATTTTTGTTCAGAATTTTACTTATTTTTGCGTACGATCAGGAGCACAATCGGTGACATTTTCAGTCGGTGACACCCAATCTTTTTCTGGTAAAAATACGATTTTTGATTGAAAATTTTGCAACCTTGAAATGAAGTTACGTCCTTTCGTCTAGGAAGCGACGTTACGTCGAATTCAACTTAACGCTACCTCTATAAAAGCTCTATAAAACCCTTCCCCTGGAGGCCTGATATAATTTATGTACGGCCTCTTATCTGTTGACTGTTTTGTCGGATTATCCTTTTATTAACATGTTTTCAATTCTTGTTTTTACAGTCCCGTATTTACCCACTTGGCTGGAAAGACTTCAGTTTGGAAGGCATTATCACCATCTGTACTGCAAGCTGCATTCAACGTAGATCCAAAAATCGAGCAGCAGTTCCGTTCGAAGAGAACCTCTGATGCCATTTTCTTCCCTCCGAAAAAATAAGGCAGAAACCCCGATGCTGATTTGACTGAATTTACGAATCTGGCGTATGTATGCTAAAAGAACTATGCCCAGATGAATTCACTTAACTATGCTTTTAGAAAGAAAAAAGTACCTTCATCTCATTAGAAGCGAGAACGTTCGATGCGTGGACGTTTGTGTCAAGATCGGAGACTCAGGGTTGCTCTAAATCAGCTACGATTGAGAGATACAACTATTTGAACTCAGGAGCAATGTGGTATTGCCTACTCGAAAATTTGAAGGAACTTTAACGTTGAGCCACTACATCTTGAGTGAACGCTTTGTACATTTTTCACCTCGGTCAATTGAATTAATAGAGCCAGTGAAGTAAAAAAAAATCCTGTTCACATAGTTCCTTTTAATTTTATTCATGCATCCACTTGTACAAAAGTTCTTGCAGTAACGTACGTACATACGTTCAATTACCCCTCCATCGTTTCCGCGAAACTTGAAAAAGAAAAAAAAACTTCGAATTTCCGAGGGACATGATTATTTGGGAATCGTTTCATCGTTGCAACCAGCTAGTCTAGTTTTGGCTACTATGTCTCTATTGGGTTCCTTTGATGGAAGCGCTTATTTCGAGGAGGTGCCATGTTGCCAAGCCGGACTTTTTTTTTCCGAAATTGAGTTCTTGACAGAAATGTAATCTTTTTCGATCTCCGAGGTACTTTATTCTTGTCTCTTGATTTTTTTTCTAGTCATGGCAACATTTTGAAATGAGCACTTCAGTTAGGACCTTAATTGGGTTAACTTTTTTTTTCGACTATTAATGGAATGGATTTCACTGGTTGGAGCCATACTGCATTTCATATTGCCTAGTTTTCTCTCATGTTTCATTTTTTTACAGAGAACTAAACAACTCAATGCCTTCAAAATGGTTGAGAATTTACACTAGATTATAAAGAGTAGGTATGTTCGAAAAATTTCACTTTACAGTGTTACTTAGTTTTCGGTTTAAAAAGTAAAATATCAGAGAAAATTAGACAACATTTGAAGTAATAACGCCAATTCTGGTTAGATTCTTTCAATCGTTTCTCTCACCTCTATTTTTTTGGCGACTTCATTACTGCAGTCATCCTAACATTATGTAAAAACAAAAAATGGAATGCATTTTAAATGCTACCTGCTGTGATTCTTTATCTATAAAATATCTGTATCTATGCTTAAAATCAATAAATATTTTTTTAAATATGCCAAATCGGCATTTTGAATTATTTCTGGATATTGGATAAGTTAATACAAGCAATCTTCATTTGATCGATCATCTTTTTCAAAGATCTAGTCACAAATATGTTTTACCCAAGAGCAAATTTATTCACTTGACAGCAATTTTCAGGTTGTACTCTTCCCTTCCCCCGCCTGAAAGATGTAAACCTGAGATATTACTGTCGAGTTAAATTGTACTATACATCTGCGATGAGGAAAACATACTTTAGAGGTTTTTTCAATGGAGATGCCATTTTGAGACGCTTGGAGGACAAGGCACATAAGTGCATTTTTTGCTATTTTGGGAGATACAAGTTTCAGGTTACTTACAGCGGAAAACAACTTCAAACTCATTTATCCTGGAATACATTTCAAGACTACTTTTAGATATCACTGATATCTTACTTTTTTCAGAAACTGCATGAATGCTCCGTTGCCTTCATGCCCCTCTCTCTTAAAGAGATATTTAGGAACGAGCATTATCCTAAAAACTAAAAAAAATACGGAAAAATTCAATATACATAGATTTATTTTTCATTCCACAGTATTGTACAGCATAGACAAAGTTTATGCAAAAAGAGACAGACGCTGCAGGACATAAAATAGTAGAAACTACTTGAAAATTTATTTTACATGAAGTGTATAAAAATAACGAGAATTAAGGTTACAAGACAGTATTCATGAAAGACATGCTGTAAAAAGCTCACTCTGAGGGCTAAGTTGTAAACTTCTCACAAGCGTAATCAGCAGAAGGCACCACAGAAGAGGCATCCGAATTGGCTGAGAAGTAATCAATGATGAGACTATGAAATCTAAAACTTTAGCCAAAAATTTATCAGAAATTTCATTAGTAAGGTGAGTTTTACGATCAATTTACGATGCACAGCATGGCAAATAAAATTAACCTTCATTTTTGCTGTATAATAGCTATTTCCATTAACATTTTTAATTTGAATCTGTGATCATTAAATAACACGAAAAATGGCCACCAAAACTTAACTGCCTCCTATTTTGACTCAGTGACAGCAACACATCCTTGAGGGGAATTTCATCGGCGGATTTTCATAGCTCCTGTTGGTAAAGATGGTAAAGGAAGGCGCAACATGAAAACATTATCATTATTTTTCAAGAAAGGAGTTGCACCGATGATTCTAAGGAGCGACTGCTTGTTTCTAAAAATGTTTGAACAGTTATTCAGAAAACTAAAAAATATTTTGTAGTTACAGATCAGGAGAAGAAGAATGAAGATGTGGCAAATAATTTTGTCCTGCATGATTCTTGAGAGAACTTTCTGGCTGTTATGTGTGTATGCATCTTTTATCTTCTGTAATATTCTAGCTGAGGGGCAAATCTGCTTCATACCTTTGTTTGTGAGGGGTTTTAGCTCTGCAAGTTGTACTAGAGTATCAGCATAGAGCAAAACTTTAATCTGTCTATCTGTAGCAGGTTTTGGTAGTAGTCCAAGGACGTCGGTGAAAAACCGAGAGCAGTTTTCTGTTAGCTCCTCAGAGGATGCATTTTGAACACTTTCTGCTAGTTCTTGGTAATCGTCTAACTCTGAGTCATCAATCAAATTTTCCAAACGGTAAACATCTTCTACTTTTTCGGCATTGCGATTGCAAGGAGGTAATATATCTTTGTACAAATCAGCTGCAGTATGAATATTGACTTCTTCGACAGTAACCTGTTTCTCCATTATTGCTTCATTAATACTATCGTTCAACTGATTCAAGTTCATTCTCATCCTTTCTTGTTGCTCGGCCATTCGTTTACTACGCTTGGAGCCAAATGCTCGCTTTAGATCTTGCATACTTCTGAATCTGCTACTGATATTTGATTCACTGCCTAAAACTGTCTGGTCCTGCTGATTCAATTTCTTTGCAATTAAATTTTCTGCTAAGAACAATCGAATCTTGTTGGTATTTGTGTTCCGGATCGCAATAAATGAATGAAAATTCTTTGTTGCAGAATTTTCTTCAGCCTTGAAGACTTTATCCTCTGCTTGAACAAACAGTTCCCTACCAGATGGGGACTTTATTTTATTCGGACGAAATGAACAAACCAAGTCAGGTGCTTTCTCAGCTTTTAATACACCGGTTTCCCACTCGACCATTGCAGGCAGGCAGGCTGCATGATGACCCATTTCAATGCCAGCAATTGTGCATGTTGAAGGATTCATCTGGGACATTTTTACTTCCTTACACTTCTGCTAAACTTACTTTTGGCACTGAGCGCACAGAATTGTTAATATTACCTTGGAAAAAATGTTGGCGACTGAGGTTGAAGTTTCCACTCACGAGCACTCTGCAAGGTATTTCCACAAATCAATTGTTTCTCCATCAATTAACCTCTTCAGAATCAAGCTGCCAGGCCTTGGAGAAACAGCAGCTTCGGCAATCACGTATGCTAACTGGTACACCTGTAATTGAACACATTCTTGTCAGCAAAATGTAAATGCTCTACTTTTAGTTCCGCTAAGTACCTATGTCAAAAGACGACTCGATCACCAAATACCATCAAGTTTAGGTAGTACTTACAACGCAATATTCCTAAAGACTTCTGGTGAGAGTTAAGCAATGGGCACAGATAATTGACATTCATGAGTAAACGACTAAGTGAACAGGTAATTCTACTAATTAAACGACTCGGAATAAAATTTATTGCCATTAAATTGAAATAAGTTTCAATTCCTTTATGATTGAAAATTGCCTGTATTTATTCTGATTGTTTAATCGCAGCAATCACTTACTAGGTGAACGTTTTAGAGATAATGCAATTTTACAAGGGAAAAAAGTATAATTTTACTGACAAACATCAAGCATCAGATAATTTAGTTTCCAGATGATCTCAAAATGTTTACTATGACACCTCCCCCATTCCCTCTTCCCAGTATGCTAATACTTCTACACTTCATTTGAAGACTAATTATCCTGATGACTTGCAGGCAAATATGATATCGACAGCCACCACTTGCAATTTTCTCTTGGCATGTTCATGAATGACATAGAAGCTTTGTCAATGCGAAACAAGGATTCTTGTCCTGATTTTTTTCTGGCCACCAATTGCATGCATTACACTAAAGTCATGTTAAGCTATAAAGCTGATAGAATAGCAAATAATTAAACTCTACAAACTGCAATTAGAAACAGTGATATTTTAACATACCTGCTAAGTGAGAAAGCTGGAAATGGCACGGCAGAAGAAGGATGTAGCGACAGCAAATGTGCCAATGATGGACAGGCTTCTGCGCTTATGTAAATTATTGAGTAGACAGTGCACAAGATGACTCAAAAAACAAAATTTTCGAAATGCATGAGCGATTACTAACTTACAATTCTAGTGTTAGTAAAATAAAAGTGTGGACACATGTTGTTGAAGTTGAATGTTGACAGATTGAGGTTAGGAATGTTTGTTTTGACCACGTGACTACTCCAGTTTTGACGTCATTATTGAGCGCCGAATTTGAATTTAAGTAGAGAATAAATGAATATGCCTTTCCGTGGGTGAATTTTTAAAATAAAGCAATATTGTTAAGCTCTTCAAAATTCTAGGAAATTTTATGAAAAAATTGAAACAAATTTTGTTGATTTGCCCATTCCGTGGACATAATTTCAAGAACAAAGCACAAATAAAAATTGCTGCTGCCCACAAATGGAAACATGATTTCTATCCCCCTGTTGTGTTCCGTGTTCTGCCATTTCATGAGGATAAAATCATGAAATTTCACGTTAAATAATTCATGAAATTTCATGTAAGATGTACGAGATTAAAGAAAAATACGAATGTGCATTGGATATTCTGTTACAACTGAGGTGATCGTGATTGCGTACCAGGTCAGGCCAAACACTATTGGCTGAAATCCAAAAGAAATTAGATCCCGAATATGTACATATTATAAATTCTATGGAGGAGAAAACTTGGATTGTAGATGATGATGAAAAAGTTAAGTTCATAATTGCCCTTTCTTATAAATAAGGAAAATTGAATGCTTTAGTTTAAAGCCACATTCACATGAAAACAAAAACTCAATTTTTTCATTTTGATGCGAGAAATAATAATGTGAAATTTTAAACCAGTTGGAGTGTTTGCTTGTAGAAGGGCGAATTGCGTAATACCCCATTTTTTGGTAATTGATGATTCGGCAAAAATAAATTGTCTTAGTTTGCTCCATCACAAACATAGCAGGCGGTAGAATTGAAATCAGCACTTCAAAAAGCAATCTCAAAGTAGGAAATCTTATAATAATGCCCTCTTAAGGGCAAACTTTTCATCTCGCTAAAGTTGGTAACACTGGAAATGGTCTACCCGTCTAGGTACATACTTGTACATAAAGCAACCACAAGACACAGACTACATTTTGCAGTAAAGGACTGTTAGTTCTGACTCACTTTAGAAACAGCATTTGTGTTGGTAGTTTCTCTGTGAAGGTCTGTTCCTGCCCATAAGATAGAAATAGTCTTTCTTGATTGCAAAATGAAGTCATATCAAAGCTGACTGCCACAATTAGAATCGACTGTTTAAAATTAGTTTTAAATGAAGGAAATCCGCCGGTACCAACTTGTGAGAATCTCCATTCATCTTTTTTTTAAACAGCCAAATAGCTTTTCAGCTAATCCTGTTACATTCTTCTATTTTTCATTTTTCTTTCTAGATCTGCTTGTGACAAAAAAATTACTGGAAGTGCTAAAGGTGAAAAATAAAGAGTACTAATTATACTCCAAAAAAGAACAAAGAAACCAATTCAATTGACGAAAATTTATTTTTCATTTCACAATTGTGTACAGCATAGACAAAAGTTCATGAGAAGTGAGGAAGATGCTGCAGGACATAAGAGTGACCGAACAATGGTAGCAACTTCTTCATAAGTTACATGTACGTTAACTGTACATAACAAGAATTAAGGTTACGATATTACATGGACAGTATTTACAAGAGAAACATGCTGTAAAAAGCTCAGTCTAAGAGATAAGTTGTAAGCTCCAAACAAGCGTAATCAGCAAAAGGCGCTACAGGAGAGCCTTCTGAAATAGGTAAAAAGTAATCACTGGAGAGACTAGTAGAACTAAAAATTTGACCTTAACTTAGCGGGGCTATGTACAATGGCTCCTGTCATTTGCCAGGCATTTCATTGGTTGCAATGTGATCATACGACCGAGTCACAATACATGGCATGGCAAATGAAATTCGCCTGAGAGAAAAATTTTAGTAACTCAAGTCAGAGTTCCTACTCAAGGCACCCAGAAAATTGTTTCAGGTTTTACCAGTAATCAGCAGGCTGATTATTGAAATTTATGATAGACAAAGGGAAAAATGTGAAAATGAAGCAATCCTATTTTTTTAAATAGGTGGTCACTATGTAGACTAAAACTTAAACTCCGAGTAGAAAGGTACTTTCTTTCATGAACAGTTGAACAGTCAAATATTAAAAAGCTTGGGTTTCCAAAAACCTAGCCAGTAAACTAGACACCTTTATGAACATTTCTTACTACTGGACATAAACAACTCTGAATTGGATGAGACAGATACTAAACAGAGACAAATGACCATCAAAAGCACTTATTTGAAAACAAATGTGTCAATGACTCATGAGATGTGAATTAAAAATTTTCCCTCTTTTAATACAATTTCAAAAAGTTGATTCTAAAACCAGGGGTACAGAAAATTTTCAACTAAGCAACCTGCTGGTTGAGATAAGTCACAAGCTAAAATAGAGAAGCTTCGAAAACAGGTTTTGAGATGGGAAAACTGATAAAAAGGGACTAAGTATGAAGGCTGGCTCACGTCAGCATGAAAATCTTCAGTTTTCCGGAAAATCGAGCAGCCATTATAGGGGGGGGGGGTGAAATTGAGAAAATTTAAGAGGGAGAATTTTACCATGAGAAGGCAAAAATGAAAAATGGGACCGCTGAGAAATTTCGACATCCCTGTCTCAAAGCACTTGGAAAGTGACTTCCTTAACACATATAGGATCAATCTGTAAGTTGAAAAATTTCTGACGCTACAACTACTCAAGATTTTATTTTAATACTACCAAATACTCCAACGCTTCCTGATTGTACACAAAACAAATTCAGAAGCGAGGGGGAAAAATCATATTTTTAGGTTTATCACTCACAGCTATGGTTATTAACACTTGTTTCTTGAAATCAGAGCAAGATGCAATTTAGGGGCCTAACTTTCTTGCACTAACATCAATAATTCCCAACGAATCTTTTTAGATAACCCTCAAACAAGTGAAAAGTATTGAACAACTAAATACATACATGAAATTGGGTGACCAAACAAAACAGTGATGGTTCACAAAAACTATGTTCGTTCAACAGCGATAGTTAGGTTTTTTTAAACCTAGGATAATTGTGCTCATTATGTCAGTGTAACTTAACTTGAGACCACTAAATATGGAAAACTCTAAAAGGAGTTTGGTAGCTCTGACAGAAAAATTTGCCGGGCAATGATAGTAAATATTTCATTGAATAAAAGACAGGAAATGAGTACGTTTCTGTTACAATCAATGATGTAACTCTTTCAAACGTCCAGAATCAGGATGATCCATTGGCTGACTCCATCCAACCACCAAAGAGGTTCATACCTATGAAGATTCAAATATTTTATTTTATATCTAATTAATTACCTACTAATTTTATTCTGATTTTTATTCATTTATTTCCATTGTTTTTTTTTAAAAAAAAAAAATAAATACATTTCAACACCTGTTTAGGGATGAAGTACCAAGTTAGAAAAATCTTTCTTCTTATTCTTGCTCACTAAAAATATTTAAGTAACACAGAGTTCACTTCTGAATAATCCAACTTTAGGAGTAACAGCTACTTCAAGAAACTGTGCTAAAAATTCTGCTGAAAGCCTTGGCCAATCAGGCTACAGTTACTCCAGAAGAGCCCGCCAAAAATTTGAGTCCACTCTCTACAGAGAACTGGAATGTACATCAATTGTACCAAATCCAAAAACGAAAAAACGTTGCCTTGCAGTACATCATTAAATTCATTTACTAGTCTCTACCTAAGATATTTCACCACCTGACGGATTCATCAGTCTTATCAGTGCTACCAATACAATTTTTCTGCTGATCCCAACTCTCAGAGTTATTCATGAATTTTCACTCTTGAAGAAACAAAAGAGGGTTTTCTGTTAAAAGGTCAGGAATAATTACAACAAACTAACACTACAATAAATATCACTGATTTAAGTTCCACTAAAACTTAAAATAACTCAAGCCGATGATGATGAGATGGACAATTCTGAATATAGACGTTATCCTTTTGATTGAAAATTTCTGCAACAAACAAGATACAGCAGTCATTAGTTCGTGTCTTTTGTCCCCAGGTTAAATACAGAAATGTACGTAATCAATTCTACTTCTATTAATATAGGACTTTAAGTCTTGCATTAAAATGAATTATTGTTGTTAGTCTACATTGGCTGCTCAATTAAATTGATAGAATTTGATCAGAAGGATCTAGAGATATATACCTTTTATGTATATGTTAGCGTTAAAGTATGTAATTCAGTTAAGTTAGTTAGTTAGTATAATTTTAAGACATTCAGCGTCTCAGGCTATTAACGTCTTATACGTTAACTAGTTAAAGTATACATTAACTGAAGCAGACGGTTAAAGTGTGCAATTAGATTTATATTACTCACTTTAACTAGTAATTTTATAGAATAACTAGTTATTTCATAGATTAACTGGGACGTGTCAGTTAAAGTATAATAAAAAGGGAGGAATCTTTGAGCCCCACTTTCGGAGGACATCCAAACATCGCATCAAAAGAGCTCCTTTTGATACCTGAATGGAAGGCCCTGATTTTTTCAAATTGGACAAATCTCAGACCTTGACTCCATTTCACTGTTCCGTTATCTTTACACCATGCAAAGACCATATTCTTGACGTCTTGATTTGCCCTCTCTACACTCCCTTGACCCTGACTATGTCTCGGTTTACTGTGCACAATTTTTAATTCAGCCCACATTTCCCTCAGACACTCTATCACTGAATTGCAAATTTCCTGGCCGTTGTTCGACTGTAATACTGCTGGGGCTCCAAAAATCGTGAAAATGTCTAGCAAGTTGTACGCAACCTCATCTGCTGTTTTTGTCTTTAAAGCTCGCAAACTGACGAACTTCTATAGATGGTCTTGATAATTTAAAATAAATTTGAATTCACCATCGGGCTGCGACTGCAAATCAATCAAATCTAGTTGACAGCAACTATTTATGTAGGGAAAAATTATAGATTTTACAACAATGCCCCTTTTCATGACGTTCTTCTTTACCTGACAAGTTTCACTAAAGTTTAAAAAATTTTAACTTGGGCTTGAGTAATGTTTTTATAACGGACATTCAGTTCGTGCATCATGAATAGCCGTTTATTTTTGTTTTGATAATTTAACTTGATTCAATTGTGACTTACACACTTTACCTGCGAGCCGTCCATGATTCTATAGAAGAACTAGTTAAAGTGTGCAACCCATGAAAATTCTACACTTTAACTGGCCGTTTCAGTTAATATATACTTTAACTAGTTAATGTATACATTAACGGATTAAATACTTTAACGCTAACATATATATATGTTCTAAGAATTTCTTTAAAAAAGCATTTAAAGCTAGCACAAGTTGATGTCCACAAGAGGAGATAGAACCAATAAAGTAAATGACAAAGAAAGTTGAATTGGGATACTGCCGTATAACATTCAAGAGTTGCCAAATTTTTCCCCCAAAAATGTTAATTTTGGAGGAAATTGTGGAAGTTTTCTCCTAAGATTTTTAGATAATTCAGATCTGATTGCAAATAAAATCCTTGGAAGAATTGGAGGTAAGTATTCAGCGATTATCTTGAAAATTCATATTTCATCAAAGGAAATTTGGCAATGTCAAAAGACTCATGCAGTGTTTTTCCGCAGTATATTAATGGCTAAAATTGAAAAATTTGTGACTCCATTGCAGCAATTGAAAAACCTCCTTACATTTAATCTTTTTGAGCTGATATGTTTTTATTAATCAGCCTGGAGGTTAGATTTCTAACAAAACAGGAAGTACTTACTTTTTTAAAGAGAAGGATTAGGCTGGTAAGAGATCGAAGTCATCGCTGACATGAACGTTCGGAACATGCGAGTCTTCAATCACAGGCTTTGCTTTGAATTCACAGAGACCCAACTCTTTCATTTTCCATTCCCAGTCCATTTTCTGGACGGCATGCAAACTTTGGGCTTCCTTGTGATGCCGCAAAAGCATCCCCTCCTACAAAAAAATCCAACAAAAAATTAGTTTCTCTAAAAAAACCAGGATTTGATGTTTTGAAAACCCAGTTACCCAAGTTAACCCAAAGTTACCCAGCCTAAAAAATAATTGCCAAGAGTTGAATTCCAACTAAGCGAGTAGCAAAAACAACAGTCAAGAAACAGTAAGCTAGGGACAAAATGGTCAACAAAAGACTTTGGCACAGAAAATGTACAATACATTCTTAGTGCTAAAATGAGTCGAAAAATTAGCTCTTTAGAGCACGATAGAGTCTGATCGACGTCAATTTACATCACTCATACGCGTTGAAAAGGAAATTACTAAGTGTGCACATGGCATAAAATGAACAACTGCGAACTTATCTGATTCAAGTTCTGATGCCTTTATGGCGGACACACTTCGGGGGAAAAATCATCAAAATACAATAATGAGAATATTATACACAATAAGCAATTAAAAGGGTTCTCAAGACACAAGGTTTAACTGCGAGTTCTGTCATGGATAACTGTATCTGCACTTACTAGAGACTATCAAAAATTGAGTAGGTTGATAATCTACAGCGAAATGAGAATTTCTTTCCTTCACTTTGACGGCCCAAAAGCTCAAAAAGGAACTTTCAGGTGCTTTACGGAAGGGGCTTCAAACATGCCAAAAGGCTCATACATAGAAAAACAATGGGGTAAAAAAGTGTTTTGAGCAGCAGCTCTCAATCATTGTAGAATATACAATCACCAGTCGAAAAGGGAAACTCGGAGTTTAAAAAATTGAAAATGAAATAGTGACACCTCTGATTGAAGTGATACTTAAAGATTTTTTACAAACCATAGGACGCTGCAAAAATGTGTAAGAAAGAAAGTTGTTTGAAATGAATTCCAATACTAATTTTTGAAACTTGCTTTCAACAAAAACCTCTTTTCTTGTAAATTTACATCTGCGCTGCAATTTTCTTGATGATGAACAGCTGCATATTCGCAATATCAACCATGAATCCAATGAGAATTTTTTTTTTCAGCGATGCAAATTTTTAAAATTTCTACTCTACTGAAACAGTAAAACACCCGATGATAAAAAATTACCTTGATTTTTTCCCACTTATCATCTACATCTTGAAGCCATGACAAAAACAGCCTGCCGTTGTATCTTGATCGAGCATTCCTGTCTTTCTCTTCTTGTTCGGGTGTGATGAAATTGTACACCTCTTCGTCTTTGAGGATCGTGCAAGCGGAAAATGGCAACGACTGATTGGCCAATGCTCTCGCTGCACGACCGTGCACCCTGAGTATTTCCTGTTCGACGCTGAGCACCAGTTTTTCTTTCTCTATTATATGCTGTCTCCTTAAGCGATATCGCTCTTTCTCTTGCTCGATGAAGAAGTCTTTGATCGAGGCTGGAAGACTAGCAGGAGGTTGGTTGGGCGAGATGGTTGTGTTGCCAGCGAGGACGTACGTACACCGATTCATTAGATAGTCTTTGAAACCTTGTGGTGGTTTGGGTTGGACTGGAAACAGACGTTTCCTCCGTCGGTCAATCTAGGGAAAGATGATAGAAATTATTGCAAAAATTGAACAAAAATAAAAGAAAAAAGCTTAGTATGTAAAAAAAAATAGGTATTGCTTGGTCAGGGTGTCTGGTATTTTTTAACTTTGAAAAATCCTGATATTTTCCTGATATTTTATAAAAGAATCCTAGTTTCTCTATTTTGAAAATTCCTACAATTTTTATGATTTTTCTCGTAAAAACTTTATTTATTGCATAAATGCATTAGGAATAACTTCAAAACTTTGATAAAAATAGTGATTTGTCGGAGTACAGGCCACAATAAAAAATAAAAGACCAATATAAACTATTTCGAATAAAATACAGACGCTGAAAATGGACAGAAAATTTTGATTTCGCAAAGACGGCGAAACTGCGATAAGGCCTTCACTATACGACACAAGTGCTACGGGTGAGAAATTATCGGAAACAAAGACGGCGCGATGACTCCTGGCACGGTAAGCAAACAGCAGTAAGACTTCTCCACTGAGATTTGCGAAAGAAAAATTCCTGATAAAACGTCCGATTTTTCCGATTTTCATGATGGCCAAAATTCCTGATATTTTCCGGGTTTTCCGGTTTTTTCTGATGCTAGACAATAGGCTATTTGACATCCAAGAGCACTTTCCTCCCTGACAAACAATTGATGGTGCAATTTTAAAGGCCAAAATCAAAGACATTTAAGGATCTATTGATAAATTCCAAAGAAAAACATTCAAGGGCTTTCGAAGGTGGATTTCAAGATTATAATTCCTTTCAACTGAAAAAAGTTGCAGTTGATGGGGGTACTTAAAATTCCCGAGAAGTCCTGCCTTTTCATTCTTCATGAGTCATTTGATGGTGTTGCTTCTGTTTTAGTTTTCTTTTCAGGTGAATGTATGACATTTCACTGAGGAGATGAGTGAAAATAATAACCTGTTTGCGAATATTCAAGAAGAGCTGATAGCAATTGGTGATGGGTTGATCGTGCGGATGGACAGGGCTTGCTGATATAGCTGGTTCGCTCGGTTCGGTGACTTCTCGGCTTGACTTGAGCTTCCTCTTGCGAGGATGGAGTTCAACGGGCGGCGCCTGGGGAGGTTCCGCCGGCTCTGGAGGAGGTTCCGGTTCCGCCGGTTGAGGTGATGCAGTGTCAGCTGCGACGGGAGAGGAGCCACTGCTTCCTCCATTTGACCGACTGCTGCAATAATATATGAGAGAAAAAATGTATTCAAATCAAAATATTTTGCAAATTGGTCCACGTTTAATATTTGTACACAAGGAAGCCAACATATCATTCAGAGCATTTTCTTGTGTAATCCTTGAGTTTCACATTCATGTCCTTAATTTTAGTGACCTACTAGGCGTCTCTTTGTTGGTGCTACAAAAATAATGAGGAATGTGATGAGGAGAAAGAGGGCGCAACAGTTTAATCCATAAAACTCAGAAGTTACTCAAGCCTGGTGCTTCGGTACAACATTTTATTATCTGTCAATAATTCTTTTGCTCCCTTCCTAAATTTTCAGTTTTCATTTTGAATTTCATCTTCATATCACTTTCACTCTCTTGAATGAGTTCCATTGCTCACATAGCTTTTTTTTGCCTGTTTTTTTTTTTTTCTTTTTTTGCGAGCGAGAAGAATATCACACCCATAAGAAATTGGGAAGATCAACTAGGAAAAGTTATAAAATAAAACTTTTATTATTGACTCCAACGAGCGGTTGCTTCTTTAGTACATTTTTTACAGAAAAGAAACAACACAGATCGAAGCTTGATTCAAAACTCGAAAAGCAATAAATCATTTTCTGATCAAGAACTTCATGAGTCTTAGAAGCTGCAATGTATATAGGAAGATAAGGAAAACAAGTTTGGTTCATGCACCGTTTCAAAAGAAATTAGACTGATTTCGTGAGAGAAGATGCCATTCCTATCTTTTAATAGATACTTGAAAAAGATTGACTTCTGACTTAAAAAGAAAAGTAAAAAAAAAAAGGGTGCAGACTTTTCTGATCAAATCCCACATTTGACAGATTAATATTTCTGTGCTTTGAACTGTCTGTAAATGTTCTAATTCAAGACTGTTCTTTGTTTAATAAGTTCACTCGATGGAAACTTTGTTGTTTAACAATGGCCAATAGCTAACCTGTGAGAGCTGCGGAGCACTCTTTGTGACTTTTGTTGCTCTTCGCTCAGGTTTGATTCTTCTGTGGAGCCTGCAGGAGGACTAGACGGAGCTGGGTCATCGTTGGACGCAACTATGTAAGGTAGACCCGAGGCACCATTTCTCCCCGTTCCAGTATCACCTTCCTGCTCTCTTGGAGGAATGACTATTTTCAGGGGAGGAACCTTGGGTCCCTCTCCATCGCTGTCAGCACCAGTTGCAGATTTAGGGCTCCCCCCGCTTGTGCTTCCACTTTTGCTGCGTGGAGTTGTCGGAGGCTCCTCTTTCCGTGCCTTCTTTTTCTTCCCTTCCTCATCTTCCTCCGTTGCTCCTGGATGAGGCCGTTTGTTGTCTTGTTCAGTCTCTGTTTGTTGCACTTGCGCATTTTCCCCACTTGCAGCCGACGTTCCACTGCTTTCAGCCTCGTTTGAGTTGGTCTTCTCGTCAGCCATGCCGTTAGACAGTTCCTTTGCAGTGTCTTCTTTGTTACTTTCACTTGATTCCATAGTCGACCTTGAACAAAAGACAGAGGAATAGTTACTCAGGTACAGAATTGAAGGTAGAGAACAATGAAACGCTTGGTGTTAAACGAAAGAAGTCCATTTTCATTACAGTTTCAGCTCCTGTGTTTTCAATAGGGGTAAATAAGCCCCTGTCTACAAGACGAATTCTCTTTTTTATTCAAAGCTAAGGTATCATAAACTACTCATTGGACATCAGCAGCCCAGTTGTTGAAACTTTACCTGGCTTTGTCAGCAAGATAAGACATGCCATAGCCCTATCTACACCGTTTAATATATCGATTTACGATTCTTGTCCAGACAACATAAATTTCAACAATCAGGCTGCTGGACTGACAATTTTAAACTGTAGATAACTCTACTTATTCTTTTACACTTAAAAAACAGAGATCCCAGCTCATTAAATCAATAAACGAATTATGTGAGTCGAAAAAGGGCGGAAGAAAAATAAAAAAAATAAATACTCACTCAGCTCTTTCTGAGGAGGATTCGTTTACTTGGTTGGATGTTTTGCTGTGCTCTTTCTTTTCATCTTTCTTCACTTGAGACAACCTTAAAGTAACACGGGGAGATCTTTCAGCTGAAAACAAACAGAGAAGAAAACAAACGATTAATTTCAAATGGTTTACAAATTAAGATGGGCCTACACCCTACATGTCATTGCGTCACTCTTTGGCCGTAAATTTTCACTGATAAAGATAAAAACAAGATTGAGATTTCGACTGACTGAGCAACGTGTGCTCGAATTTTTATGAATTCCTAACTTTACTTACTTCCTCTGACGAAAACATTTATTGTCATATCTCTAAATTTTCAAGGAAGTTGAGCAAGAAAATACTTTTCACGAGATACACAAAGCGCCGAGTTCAAACTTCGCAGATAAAAAGCAAAAGTGCTATCAACAGTTCAGAATCGTCCAAAAATTTTGAAGAGACAAGAAAATTTGTGGTAAGAAGGCATAAAACCTTTAATTTTCCACAGCTGGATAAGAAATAATGATTAAATGTTCCAGGTTCCTTGATTTTTCGATAATTTGTCACACAAGTGGCGATGATGATGTGCGACTTATTAGGAGGACTTTTCTTGCATAGTAAAATGTCCTGTTAATCAAAGTTTCGGAAAAAAAATTTACTGACTCAACCCAGGCTTTTTGAGGTTTTGGCGTATGAAAATAAACGTATTTAAGAAAAAAAAAAATTTGCGCTACGGCACTTGAAATTGAAAAATATCAAAATTCATCCATTCAGGGACAAACTGTTTTGGACCGTATGCGCACATTGGCGATTCAACTGGAAAAATGCAGGGAGAGGGTTCTTACTTGTTCAACCTACCTACTGAACTCGATTCACGTCTTTTACAATCTTGAAGCTTGTAAATGTGAAAATATAGATTCCAAAGAGTGGGGAAAGAAAATCCGTAAGTTGCGAAAAAAATTTCAAAGTTCGATGCAAAGTTCCCTGGCTTTTCCTTTACATTTCAAGAAATTGTCGACTTGGAAAAAGGCGAAGAAGGAAAAACGGCGATGGGAAAACGGCGATGGAAATCGTGATGGTGACGAAAACCTATTTGCCTGAGGCAGAAGTCGGGTTGGAGTCGACCAATTTAGCACTGACGTAGGGTAAGCGAACCGGGAAGGTTCTACTGATAGAGCGCACGGTTGCCATGACTGTCGGCAGCCTAAGGGGGAAAAAGAAGAATAAAACTGCGGAGAAGATTAAAAGGGTCGTAAAAATTTGATTCCTTCCACTCGGAGCGATGACTCAGCGAGTAATTACCGAGGCACGCGAACGCCGGGCGCCCTCACTAACAAACGCTCGAGTCGATTTTTGCGGCGAACATGCTCCGTTGCTCGACACCGATGCGACCAACGGCAACGTACTGCCTTGCTAGGGAAAAACGCCGTATGAACCTTCAGGCCTTGCCAAATTTCCTTTGATAAAGCACACATTTCCTGGTCAACTTATGAATATTTTTCTTCCAAATTTTCAAATAATTTTGTTTGCAATTTCACCTTAAGCTTCTGAAAAGAGCCTCCCTAAAAATGGCCCCTTTTCGGGAACCCGGGGATTTTGTTCGTATGTGGCTTAAATGAAACCTTATGATAAGGTAAGACTCCAGTAAAAATTTTAGCTTGAGTATACGTCTAGTTTCCGAGATACAGCGTTGCAAAGTTGGCATAATTGAGCTTTAAAATTCTTATATTTTTATGGATTTTCTTCCAAAAACCAACTTCAAAAAAGACTTTACAATACTTACACGAAGCGTACACGAAAAATTATATAATAAAGAGTCTCCAGTAAGAGTTTTGACTTATGCGTGAGCCTTGTTTTGGCAGTACAACGTTGCTAAGATTACATTTTTCAGCTTTAAAATACTCCTTTTTTAAAGTTTATCATTCACAAACCGCTATTACTGAAGATCTAACTGCATTTTGGGGCATAGAAACAACAATTAGTGATACTCGTAGATGCATAATATAATTTATAGAAGGATACGATAATACAGTGTTGCAAAGTTTTCAACTTTTATCTGGGAAAATGTCTATTTTCTGTTGTTATTTTATTGAAGCCAAGTTAGAGCAATCGTCGATGCGTAATATTGTGAAGCGGCAAAGAAATGTGGAGGACTTTTGTGAATTCAAGGTGAAAATTGGAATGAAAATGGCACTGTTGCCAATTTTATTTAAGTTTCTCTCAACATTCCATCATAAAATAAGTTTAGAATAAGGACATTTCCAATAATCGGCAACATGTTAAGATAATTGTTATATATTTGAAGGCAAGACTATACTCATGTATCAACTGAAGAAAATATTTTTACAAAAATTAATAAAAAAATAAAAAAAAAATTACAAAAAAAATAAAAAAATTAAAGTAGAAGCATCTTTATTTTAAAATCATTTTATTATTTTTTGTTTGAAAATAATTATGAATAAACTTGGCAGCAGTATTTTTTCCAAAACCAATCGTTACCTGGGACTGACATCAGCCCTTGATATTTTGCCTTTATACGAGTTAAGATACCCATTGAAGTTGTGTTCAAGAAGAGAAAATCATAATCCATATAGAGTTCAAAGATTTAAGCATGGCAACGCTGTATCATCACCGGCCAAAGTATTCTTCTTCAAATACAAACATTCATCTACAGATGACATAAATTATTGATTTTCTGCCTCAAATCGTTATTAAATTCTACAAAAGTAGCTTCTTAAACAAAGAACTTAAAAATATAGACAATTTTAAAGCGCAAATATATAAACTTTGCGACTATGTATCGTTAAAACTATACTTAAATTCTGAGTTAAACTTTTAAAAAAGACTTAATCTATCATAAAATTGCATCTAAACCCCAAAAACGTATCTTTCAGCGGTCACTAAGTTCGTTTTTTAATTAAGAAACTTGATAAAATGAACATTTTTTATTGGTTTTTTATATCAACTTAGCAACGTTGTATTAACAGAATTAGCAGTATTAATGTTTCAATAGAAATATGCATTCGATAATAATACATACTAACATTTGATAAAATGTCACAAAATATCATAAAACATCCAATTGAATCGTTCTCAGAAAATAAGATACCTGAAAATATAAGAATTTTAAAGCTCAAATATGCCAACTTTGCAACACTGTATTATCGTATCCTTCTATAAATTATATTATGCATCTACGAGTATCACTAATTGTTGTTTCTTTGCCCCAAAATGCAGTTAGATCTTCAGTAATAGCGGTTTGTGAATGATAAACTTTAAAAAAGGAGTATTTTAAAGCTGAAAAATGTAAACTTAGCAACATTGTACTGCCAAAACAAGGCTTTCGCATAAGTCAAACCTCTTACTGGAGACTCTTTATTATATAATTTTTCGTGTACGCTTCGTGTAAGTATTGTAAAGTATTTTTTGAAGTTGGTTTTTGGAAGAAAATCCATAAAAATATGAGAATTTTAAAGCTCAAATATGCCAACTTTGCAACGCTGAATCTCGGAAACTAGACGTATACTCAAGCTAAAATTTTTACTGGAGGCTTACCTCATCATAAGGTTTCATTTAAGCCACAAACGAACGAAATCCCCGGGTTCCCGAAAAGGGGCCAAAAAAGGCCCTTTTTTAGGGAGGCTCTTTAAAAGAAAAAAAAAATATTCACAACTTTCCTTGAAAATGAACATTTTATCGGAGGAAATTTGGCAACTCTCGAATGTTCATGCGGCGTTTTTCCTCGGCACGGCAGTGACGTATTTCCGTCAGTTGACGGCCCGATTTTTTCCTTCTTTTTTTATATGCAAGCGCGTAAGCATCGGATCATAAAATGGAACGCGGGAGAAATGTGCAATGACGATGACGAGAGTGTCCAGGAAGTTTGCATCATTGACAACTTGTCCAATAGCTACGACGCGAACAAGCCTCGATCATGCACGATAACCTGAGTGCTTTTTGGCAATGCCAGAAATTATCAACTCTTCTCGGGCTTATACAGGTTTTAGACTAGAAAACTCCTTGCTTTTGCGAGGGTGTGCAACATGAATGTTTAGTTTTGCTCGCCGATGGAGCGCGTGGATGCAGTAGAAGATGATGAGTCGCCAGCACAATTTTTTTTTTTTTTCAAAATCCAAGTTGGTGAGATGAAAGAGTGATGCAAAGATCTTCTCTTGGGATTTTTTCGACGCCGGGCAAATTCAGAAAAATCTGAAAATGTGCCGTCACCGATAAGAACTCAAACGGGTACGTTCGACATACATCGCACAAGTCGCAGGCAGTTTGCACGCCACTCGTGAACAAATATAAAGTCAGAAATAAGGGAACAAAATTGGAGTGCTGATTATAACGCCTCAAGTATGAAAATACACGCACACTCGGGAGAGCGTGTAGTAGAATCCATAAACTTGCAATTAGTTGGGTTCGGATCTGACATGCAACTAAAGTAACTCCGTGACAAAGCGTAGAGTATCATAAAGGTTGAAGGCGCTCCAAGTCGAGATCGTGCTTTGGAAAACAATTACCCATCAAACCTTCATTACACGGATAAGCACTGCAACATGAAAACTGCTTACTTTCCAGCGATTGCTAATTCCCTGCTGCGCTCATTTCATATTGGGCGGCGTTAACGAGAAATCAAGTTACTACAGCTGAACCGATTAAAAATCATTTATTTTGGTACTGAGGAGAGAAAATAATGGACAAATGTCACATCAGAACATGGCACCATTCGACAGACTTCGACCATATGCGCTGGCCAATGGGCCGACTGATGATTGAAACATTCACGTTGATGTGAATTTTGTCCGTTCTTTTCCTATCCCAGTTTTACCTCTCAACGTTAAGATGCATTATTGGCCCATAAACCTACATTAACAACTTTTCAACGACCAAATTTTTCTAATATCTTCGACCTTTTCTTTAAAAAATTCATTTAGAATCCTTAGCTTATGTCCAAGATTATACAAAAGACCCATTAAGATATATTTTGGCTGGAACAAAAAGTTTTACGGTTCAACAGCCAAAAGTCCCGAATTACCTGGGTGTTTCTCGATGTTTCAAAAATTTGTCACTTGGTAATTATAATAATAAACTTGTTACACGAAAC